CTTCCATCATGTGGGTTCTGGCACAGTATACGTGTCAGGTCAGAGGACAGTTTCCGGGAGCTGGTCTCCTTCCATCATGTGGGTTCTGGCAAGGCACTTAGGTCACCAGGCTTGGCAGCAAGTGCCTTTACCCTCTGAGCAAACTCACTAGCCCATGAACAGGTTTTTAAAGGTCCAGATTTCCAGGGTTTTCTGCCATAGGTTCTATATCCATGAAGGGAGGGAGGGGCTCTTGCTACATAGCCTAAGCTGGCCTGGAGCTTTGCATCCTTCTACCTCAGCCTCTTGAGTGCTAGGATTACAGCTGTAAAAACCCATGTCTGGCTCCTTGGGAGGTTTTAAAACTTAAGATGCCACATGTGGGACCAAGAAAGCCCCCAAACAAACAATAACATAGCAAGAAGGCAAGCCTATGGATTCACCTGAGGCGTCTGCCCATCGCCAGATGGGGGAACACAAGTTATGTAAAGGGACAGGAGTTATTAGAAGGTTCGCAGTGATTCAGAACACAGTCCTCAGTGGTCTTTAGTTTCCTTGCTTGTCGTGTGGCGGCAGTGCTGGGTGCGGGGCCTCAGGCCTCTAGGCAGGCTGCCTACCCGGCACGGCTACACCACACCCCAGGGCCCAGTCTTTGTTTAACCCTGACCCCGGCTCGCACCACCGGCAGGCTCACCGGGAACTGCCAAGGTAGCAGTATGTGCCACAGCATTCAGAAGCCACTGGACAGGGCACGTGTGGGGTTCCCTCTGCTTCCCAGTTTCTCTTCAGTCCTCCCACCTCTTCTGATCGCTATATACAGAGGCACCAAGCCACAGGATATATTTTTGTGTTTGGAAAACTTCCTAATTCTACTTCACACCTTCTTTTAGAATCCAGAAAACAAAACCAGGTGCATTTTTTTTTTCTTTCATAGAGTTGCGTCATATAAACTGGTTCAAGAACAGGACCTTGATTTCTTTTCCTTATATTGATCTACGTGTGTGCCTGGGCATGCTGGCATAGGCGGGTGTCTACAGAGGCCAGAAGGGGCTGTTGGATCTTTAGAACAGGGGTTATAGGAGTTTGTGTGCTGCCTCCTGGGAGTTCTGAGATCAAACCTCATCCTCTGAAAGAGTAATAAGTGCTTTTTACCGCTGAGCCACATTTCCTGCCCCTATATGACCTTTGTATTAGCCCTGAACTTAGTTCAGGTAGCAAGATGCATGATTTAGGAAAAAATAAAAATTTTGTCAGCAACTGACTTAACCGTTTATATGTTTATATGTACGTATCTTATGGTGGTGAGAACTGAACCCACAGAATTATGTTGTGTCAAACTTCATAGAGCTGTATCATATCCAACTGGCTCAAGATGATACCACACATGCCAAGCACATACCTTTACCACTGGGTTATAGCCTCATCCTGATTTGGTAAAGAACAAAGATAACATATTGCTCTGAAGTTAAGCTGCAGAAAAGATGGGAAACACACCTATTCCTCGGAAATTGGGAATGATGACAGATTGAATATGACCAGTGGGCCCAAAAACCGGGCAGGGTGGCCCTGGGTTTAGTGCTCAGTACCTCAGAAGAAATGAGAACTGAAGAGGAGACAGAAGAGGGAGAACCCACAATTACCCATCACCCCCACTTTCATCAAGGGGACTGATGGCACCCCAGGTGGATCCTCCACCATGGAGGATTATAACCATTCAATACATCAGCGTGGGGCTGCCCCTGCCCATCCCGCTGCAGAAAATCACCTCTCAGAAGCCTTCCTTGCAGGCTTCCTGACCACACTGTCTCCATATTACAGGCTCTCTGGCTCAGAGTGGTATTCAGCTGTCACTAGCACAAACACCCAGCCTCTTGTGCTCCTACAGAAGAGAAACCTACTGGAAGGGCATTGTAGATCCTTAATATATGACCAGCACAAATGCCACTTCCTGAGAAGCCCCGCCCACCCCACCTAAAGTCAGGAACCTAGCATGCACTTCAAAGCACCCTCAACTTCCCCCCCAAAAAAATCCACCAATGATGCTTAAATTAAAAGCTCTTCCTGTGCCCTTTCACCTGAAACCTACCCTTACACTGAAATTCTTCCATACTGGTCCCTGTCCACAGCTCCCACATCCACCGCCTTGCCCTCTCACCACCTGCTGTTGGCCACTTTGGCCTTTCTGTGTCTACTGTTTGTTTTTGAGTGAGTCTTTCTCTGTATGCGGCCTCAGCTGACCCAAGTTCATGGCGGTCCCCATCTCTGCCACCCAAGTACTGGGTTACTGGCCTGTGCTATGGAACTTGGTTCTTTCTGCTCCTTCCCAGTCCTTGAATTCACATGGATCATTCCCATCCTGTGTACTTTGCCTCTGTCTGCTCCACCTGGAAGACCTATCCATAGTGATTTGAATGGCAGGCCTCCCGTCACTCCCCTCTTCACTCAAATGTCTGCCTGAAAAGCCTCCCAGATTTCCATAGGTAATGCCAACTCGCCCACTTCTCCGGTCCCCTAGGTCCCCCCTTGGCACTCAAGATGTTGGTTGTTGGTGGGGGTATTTTCTAACATCCCTCCCTACATACATACCTGGAAAGGATTTAAGCTTGGGACCTGAAAGATGGCTCAGTGGTTAACAGCATTTTTGCTCTTCCAGAGGGCCCCACTTCAATTCCCGGCATTCACACAGCGGCTCACCACCACCCATGCACGGAGTTCAGGCTCATTTTGGAGAGACTACCCAATATTCTCAGCAACCAAAACAAGAGGCAGCACTCCACTCCACGGCTGCTTGGGCAGCTTCCTCAGGGTCCTCTCTCCTGGGAGCAGAGCGTGAAGGATGGTTTCTCCAGGATGGTCTCTGCTCCCACAGAAAGTAGCTCCCAAGTGTTGGGGCATTACATGGACCTCCAGAACAATCACCCTCAAAGATGGGTATCCCTGCCTATTCACCCCATCCGAAACTGCTGAAAATAACACAAGTCCTAAAACAGGAAAGTTTTAAGTCACCTCCTCGTGATCAAATACAAAAAATAAAAGTCCCCAGAATGTATGGAAGGACATGGCTGAAAGTTTGGGAATTCTAAAAAGACTGAATGTCACCTACCACATGGTAGTGGCGCATGCCTTTAATCCCAGCACTTGGGAGGCAGAAGCAGGTGGATTTCCATGAGTTTGAGGCCAGCCTGGTCAACAAAGTGAGTTCTGAGACAGGCAGGGCTACACAGAGAAACCCCATTTCTAAAAAGCAAAAAGCAAAAGAAAAGAAACTCTCACTAGGAAATGAGAAACACAGCAGACCAAAGAAAAGGATTGCCACCAAGACCACAGAGCAGCACTTGTGGAAATGGCTTAAGATAACGCCCAGAAGGACAAAAATTGGAATCGATTATAGCAAACAAGAGAGCCGGCTTAGGGCAACTGAAAACATCACAGGCAATGACAGACAAACAACAGGAGCTGGGAAAGCAACAGCAGAGAGGAATGCTAAGAGAAGCAAAGGCAAGGCTCAGACTTCAGAGAACTTGCTGAGGGCAGGGCTGCCTCTGCCACTCACTGTGGGGTCCCCGCAAGAAGCACACGGCCCAGATTGTAGCACATTGTCTCCCAGACTCTTGAAAGAGCGACTATTAACAGGACTGGGGGTTCAGTCTGCGCAGTGCTTACCGTACAAGCACGAGGACCCGAGTGTGATCCCAGGGTACACACAAGGCCAGATGGCATGCACTTGTAAATCCAACACTAGGAAGGCAGAGTCAGAATGGTGGATTACTGGGGCTCACAGGCTGGCCTACCCAGCCTAACAACAAGCCCCGGATCAATAGAGAGCCCATCTAAAACAGCAAAACGCCACCAAAGTAACCTCGGCCTCTGCACTGTGCAGACATGTACAAGCACGCACAAACACACAGGCACACACACACACACACGATTAACAAAGTGTGCTTAAGCACATGTAAGTCTGCACACATCTATATAATATAAATTGCCTTAAGAACGGCATGAGGCTCTGCGTGGACCCCGAACAAGTCAAAAAGCAGCAGTAACAAATACATACCATGTATATTATTTTATTACAAATGTGTAATTGCAGATTGCCATTACCCTAAATATTACAGTAGATAATACATAATTAAACACAGATATTTTACAAATAGCATATAAAATATAAAATGTACCATCAAACCATATGTAAAGAGTCCACACTGAGGCTAAAACACTCTCAGAGACGTTGAGAGGACAACGGAAATCACCAGAGACCTTGGAGAAGAAATGGCAGATGAGGAAATGCCGACCAACGGCCACTAACTCCTCTAGAGGCATGAAGTTCTGTGTTCAATCATACAGGTGGAGTGATTAGAGAAAACTAAATATCCGTACATTAAAAAGCTACAAGCCGGTGAGGTGGCACACACCTGTAATCCCAGCACTTGGGGAGGCAGAGGCAGGTGGACCTCTGTGAGTTCAAGACCAGCCTAGTCTACAGAGTGAGTCCAGGACAGCCAAGGCTAACACAGAGAGACCCTATCTCAAAAAACCAAAAAAAAAAAAAAAAAAAGAAAGAAAAAAGAAAGCTACAAAAGAGGGTTTTGTAAGATTTTACCACAAACTAATGATGAATGTTTGAGAATACATATATATTTAACATGACATTATATATTATAGACACACATCAAATAATCATACCATTCACATGGTCAATTTTGGTTTTGCTCCTGCCTTTAAAAAAAAATAGAGTTTAAGTACCAAAGTTAACATATACATACATGGGCATCTCACACGAGAGAGGTTTTCCTTGAATCTCGACCTGGGTGCTCATTCCCGACCTTGAAGCTTGTAATTATTTTTTTTCAAGTCTGATCCCACCCGTCTGGTCTTATTCAGCTACCACAGCTGAAGAGAAGACAAGTGGCTGAGCAGTCTGGGGCTAGGGTCTCCCCTGATGTCTCACTGCTACAGGTTCTCTCTCTCTCTCTTCAAGACAGGGTTTCTCTGTGTAGCCCTGGCTGTCCCGGACTTGCTTTGTAGACCAGGCTGGCCTCGAACTCAGAGATTAGCCTGCTTCTACCTCCCTGGTGCTGGGATCATAGGCGTGCACCTTCATGCCCAGCTCTGCTGCAGGTACTTTTACTAAACAATGTAACTCTTACAAACGTCCATACCGTCATATAGAAACACCCTCAGTGCACATGCTTCCTGAAGTTCAAGACCGTAAGATGATTTTTACATCCCCCATGCTGAGCTGAGCTCACATTGACTCAGCTGAGCTCTCCTGCCACGCCAAGCAAACAGGTAGGGTCTCCCAGTTTCAGTGTGAATACAGGCTGCTTTATCCCGGCCTCCGTATGCCTGCTCCACAGAGCCATCCTCCGGCCACGCCTCTAATCCTTTAAAGGAGGGTGGAGTGGAACGCCATTTCAAGAAGCCAAGAAGGAAAAGGAAAGAACCCTCAAGGCTGGAGTGATTAAGTGAGGCTGTGACAAAGGGAAGGGCACTTGAGTGTCTGGCTGTTTGGTTGTGCGGGGTCAAGGGCAGTGAGATACAGGTGGCCTCTGAGCTGAGCTCCTGGGGTCCACATTCTGAGCACACACTCCCCCATCTCACCTGTACTGTGCTTGAAAGTGACTTTGCACAAAGCTGGGGCCTAAGGAGAGAGGAGCAGCAGGTGGCCGGAGGTCCTCGGGGTCCTTACTCGATTCCGGGAGCAGCTGTGAAGAAACAGGAAAGAAATCGGGTGACATCCTGTCCGCATCCTGTCACACAGTCGCTTCTGGGGCATGGAGCCCACAGCATCCCTCTCCCAGCCTTGCTCAGCCTAGAGCTTCAACACTGCCTCCGCTTGCCCAATCTCTGAGAAAGGCCACAGACTGAACGCAGAACTGAAGGGTGATCATACCGAGAGCTCACACACACTCCGCCCCGACTCCCCCGGGGTTGGTGGTGCTGTTCTCCACCCATGTCCTGTTGGGGTCTGATACATTCACAATCAGTATCACTAGACTAAAAGGAAGGTGTTGACTGCCTGCCCCCCCACCAGAGGGTCTAGGCAGGAATCTTCTTCCAGTCTCTTCCAGACTGTTGAGATTGCTTGCCTTGTGGCCACACCATTCTGTCCTCTGGGTCTGAACCTCCAAATCTCTCTCCCTGTTCTGTATTTACACTGTTTTGTCCTCAGCGTTCTCCAAACTCTCTCTGCCTGTTACAACAGCACTCAACAGCATGCTAAGGGACTACCCGGATAACCCAAGTTAATTACTCTAATTCAACACTCTCAGTCACAGTTGCAAACACCAGACGACCCAAAGCTTCATCATGAATATCTTTCTAGGTCATCTTTCACCTCTCCTCACTCAGGGCTCTGACCCATCCCAGTGTCCCCAGTGTCCCCAGTGTCTAACAATGATGACAAGAGAGGCTAATAAATTCAAATTTTCTAACCCGTTATTAAGTTACTTGCTCTGTACTTTTATCTTAGTCTATTTTCTGTTGCTAATGTTTGTTTGATTTTGTTTGCTGAGGTAGGGTCTCATGTTGGGGGAATAGGGAGGGTGAGGCAGGGTCTTGTAGCTCCAGTTGGCCTCAAGCTCACTATGGACCCAAGACCAACTTTAAGACTCCTGGTTTTCTAGCCTACACCTCTCAAAAGCTGAGGTTATAGGCATGCACTTCTATGCTGGGCAAAATTGAGAATTTACAACAAACCGAGAAAAGCACACAGTTCTTTGGGCTAGAAAGATGGCATTAGCATCTTCTCAGCGTCTGGCAAGGGCCTCTGGCCGCACAACAAAGACAGCATCTCTTTCTCATCTTATGAAGCTACCAGTACCAGCCTGGGCACACCCTGTTCTCCTGATCTCATCTGTCTCAGTTTCCTTCCAAAACGCCTGCCTATTTCCAAATACCATTAACAGACCTGAGGCTTGGGCTGAGTGGTAGGAAGCTGCTTTTCTACCACGTGTGAGGAGCCGGGATCCATTCCCAGCACTGCAAAATACCATTAACACACAAGTGTGGGGCTTTTGTTTCCGGCGTATGAACAGTCTCCTAATTCGGGGAGTCAGGATAGCGCCCAACTGATAGAAGGCATGTTTTGAGGAGTTCAAGGGTCATTCACAGACAGTGCCTTAGTCAGGGTGACTACCGCTGTGATGAAACACCATGACCAAAAGCAGCTTGGGAAAGAAAGGGTTTATTTGTCTGATACACTTAAAGCCACAGTAAAGCCACAGCTCCCTCAAGGAAGCCAAGGCAGGAACTCAAACCAGGTGGGAACCTGGAGGCAAGAACTGATGCAGAGGCCATGGAGGGCGTTGCTCACTGACTTGCTCATTGTGGTTTGCTCAGCCTGCTTTCTTACAGAAATCAGGACCACCAGCACTACCCGAAATGGGCTGGGCCCTCCCCATCAATCATTAATTAAGAAAATACATCTTTAATCCCAGCACTTGGGAGGCAGAGACAGGTGGATCTCTGAGTTCAAGACCAGCCCGATTTACAGAATGAGTTTCAGGACAGCCAAAACTATACAGAGAAACCCTGTCTCAAAAAAAAGAAAGAAAGAAAGAAGGAAGGAAGGAAGGAAGGAAGGAAGGAAGGAAGGCCCGCCCTAGAGGCTTGCCCAAAGCCTTTTTTTATGGATATGAGTGCTCTATCTGCATGTGCACCCGCCAGAAGAGGGCAGTAGAGGGTAAAAATGGTAGTGAGCCAACATGTGGTTGCTGGGTATTGAACTCAGGGCCTCTGGAAGAGCAGCAAGTGCCATCTCTCTATCCCAAAAACCTGATCTTACAAAAGCTCTTTCTCGGTTGAGGTTCTCTCCTCTCAAATGACTCTAGTTTGTGTCAAGCTAACATAAAACTGGCCAGCAGCTATTTAGACAGATAGTTAGATAGACCTAGACAGACAGATAGATGATACAGACAGATGACAGACAGAGAGACACTTAGCCTGGTATACAGCGAGTATGTATATACTCGGTTGGCAGGTGTGTTAGATATCTGACAGTCTTTTAACCAGAGTGGTGGCTCCAGGCATACAGAGATGCTTTAACTTGACAGCCATTCCCAGGTAAAGAAGGACATCAGAAGGTTTGAGTGTCCAAGTATCAGCAGGTGACCTGAGTAGAGGCCGTGAAGATGAACTGAGCTCTTAGCTCAGCAGAACCAGGAAGAAGAAAGGAAGAGATAATCACAACCAACTCCAGAAGTCAAAGGAGACGGGGCCTGGAAAAGACATACCACGTTCAAAAGAGGCTCAATAGCCAGACCGAAAAGTAGAGTGGCAAATAGTTACAAGAGCCTGGAGGTGTGAACTCACATCAGCTGTGATGCTGGGATGTTTTGCACAGGATTTACGGTTCTTGAGACCTTGAGTCCAGTCCCTGGGTGAGAATATGTGGGATGTTGTTTCCTGAGTGGACTACAGCAGTGATTACCCACGTGAGACCCTCCACAAGCCCACTTTGTTGATGCTCCCTTATAAAGAAAGGGACCTAGAGGGTCATTAGACTGTCACCTGAGATTCTGCCACTCTCCTGGCACCCTGTCAGCTAGCTGTACTCCCAACCCAGCTGCAAGTGCTTTCAGGGCCTTCCAGAGTCCAGAGATGCTGGAAGGTTGACTTCCAGCTGCTAGGAGACCCCATGTATATAGCTTTGGGGGGTCACCACCCACACTGGGATGGGACCCTTTAGTGATACAGATGTTCTGATGTCACTGGTTCGCCAAGGAAGACTTTGGTCTATCACTGGTGACTTATCTGGGGTATGGAGATGCTTGTTTATGTCTCCCCAGGAAAAGCTTAATTCCCTAACAAGGGCCAGGTCTACAACCCAAACTTCAACCAAGATGTCCCAGACAGGATGCAAGTCATAAGCAGAGTGACCAAGGCTTCAAACACTGACTCTAGTCACCACGACTGGGCACAAAAGCTAGCAGTTCCTGCCAGCTAGCTCCTTCCTCGCCCAGAGCTGTCTAATGCTAGACACATTTTCCATTCAATCCTGTGGGTCTCTCCCTAGCTGGCCATCTACATTCCCCACCTAGGGCAGTCCCCGGTGCAGGCAACCAGGAACTCGAAATGATACAGAGGGATTCTATATAAAGATGACAAGCTGAGACCCTGGGCACGACTGTAGATGGGGTCACCAAGGGATGGAGTGGAAAGAAAATCCTGGGCAAGACACAGGGAGAGAAGGGCAGTAGGAAGTCATCCACAAAACACGGACCATGAGGTCAGAGGAACATGAACCTGGTCTGCTGGGCAGGCGAACCTTGATGCCTCATGAAGCTTAAGCAGCAATTCCTCAGCGTAGAACTATGGTGATACTCAGGAGATGAGGTACACCCCAGGCATGGAGGCTCACACCTCTAACCCCAGCACTTGGGAGGCCGAGACCGGAAGATCACTGGTTGAAAGGCACCTCGGGCTACAGTTGGACTTTTGGATCCAGCTTGGGCTAGAGTTTGAGGATAAGTTACAGAAAGAGACACAGAAAGGATGAAGGGAGGGTGGGAGGGAAGAAGGACTCCTATCTAGTGTACAGTATTTTACTTCATATATATTGGCTGCTGTTTCTCTCCCTAGACTCATTCTCACCTTTATTCTGCAAAAGTAGGAATTTTCTGGAAAACTATCAAAAAAAAAAAAAAAAAAAAAGATTGTTTATGTGTTGGTATTTAGAGGGCAGTGAAAATACAGGATGGAATTTGCAGGATGGAAGTGTTTGAGAATCGTTAAAGTAATGGAAAAGAGAGTGGCCCTTCAGTTTTCTATTCCATTTCTAAACGAATCTCGCTGTATGGCTTTCCTGTCCTCAGTACAGAAATAACTTCAAAAGGGTAAAATCACTCCGAGTTACACAGAGGGCAGGAGCTTTCTTTGTTGAAAGGGAAAATGAAGTTTCCCTACTAATAATCACAAGGTTCTCTCTGCGACCTCCAGGATCCATGGTGCAGCCTCAAGGCCGCCCACCTTCCAGAAGCAACCTCGGGAGGACAGAGAAAGGTTCACTGCTGGTGTCCCAGGTCAGAGTGAGGCTAGGAAGGCCCTCACTCTGGCCAGCAGGCACTCCAGGCCTTGTCTAGGTGGATGCATTGCTCCTTCCACACCTGTTCCATGGAGGGACAGAAAGCTGATAATGGTAAGGACAGGGACAGAGTGGGGAGAGGAATCTGGAATGAGCCTGAGCAGGCCCAGTCAGGGAGGATTTGGTTCCAGTTTGGTAGGAAGTCACCAGAGCAAGACAAGCAGGAGATGACATCACCTTGTTCCCTTTCTGAAGAGATCTGGCTCCTGGATGGAGAATGCCATACAGGACAATTCTGAAAACTGAAGGCTGGCAGGATCACTCAAGGGGAAAATATCGGCCCAGCAAACACAGGCCCTGAGTCCATCCCCAGCCTGAAAGAGGGAAGGGAGGGAGGAAGAGAAGGGAAGGAAGGAAGGAAGGAAGGGAGGGGAGGGAGGGAGGGAGGGAGGGAGGAAGAGAAAGGAAGGAAGGAAGGAGGGAGGGAGGGAGGGAGGCAGGGAGGCAGGGAGGAAGGAAGGAGAAAGACTAACTTCCGATCATGGCTACTTTCCCTGTAGTTTAGTTCCTTGAAGTTACGAAGAACGATTGGCAGGCCCTCATGACTCAAACAAACTCAAATGTCCTAAAGAACAGTTTGAGGGTGGCACATACTCATATGAAACAGAGATTTAAGAGCAGAGCTTCTCAACTAGAGAGTGATTTGGGTCCCCACCCAAAGGAACGCTTGGCAATGTCTGCACACACGTTTAGTACAAGTCAAGACTCCTTTGTCCCTAGCGAGAAAGACGGTGCTGATGCCATGACACAGAAATCAGCCTGGCACAAGAAGAATTACCTGGCCCCAGATGCCAAAAGTGCTCAGGTTCAGAAATCCTGGTAGAGAGTGCATTTCCTTATTTGGGCACGGGCTCTCCCATTTACTAGCTGTGTGACTTGGACACATGGAGCTTACCCTGTGACCTCAAACCGAGTGATTTTTCCTGTTCCTGAATAGAGAGCGAAAATGAAAGGCCGCTTGGAAGGCTGCTGCTCAAGGCTGGGTCTGGAATGTCCCACAGAGGCCCATGTGTTAAGCGTCATTCCAGGCTGTCACTATGAGGAGCTGGCAGAACCTTTAAGAGGTAGGAAGTCTTAGGTCACCATGCACACACCCTTGGAGGGAGCTGTGATAAACAGCTTGTTCCTCCATGTGCTCCTGCCAGAAGGTGCTTCCTGAGCACAGCCCAAATACAACAGGTCCACCTGACCACAGACGAAACCTCCGGAAGCCAAAATAAACCTTCCCTCTTCGTAGGCTAGCTATCGGAGCCGTTCTGTTCCAGGAACAGGAAACTGACTAACACAGTAATCTACTTTCCACCTCCTTTCTAGGTAGGAAGAGCTCCCCCGTGTATGAGGAGAAGAGAGAGGAAAATACGATGAATTCCTGATAACACAGCAACAGGAGGTGGAGATGGCCGTCCACACCTCTCCTCCAGCAGGTAACTGAGAAGACACAGTAGTTTTTTAAGACAGGAGGTCCGGCACATTGGACCTGAGATGCACAGATCCAGATTCAATCCTATTTCCACCAGCCAGAAGATGCTGACCCCAAGAGATTATGCTGGCGCACACCCATAGTCCCAGAAATGAAAGGGAGAGCATCAGTGTTCAAGGTCATCCTTAACTACACAGTGATTTCAAGTTTGGTCTAAAGTACTTGAGACTACGAGTGTCCCTGGGGAATGCTTAACCTATGTTTCCACTCACCAGAGAGTATGAGTTATCACTGTAAATATTAAAATAAGACAACCATTTAATAAGTTCGCTGAGTATCTGTTATATGCCAGGTAAGAATAAGTCATGAAAATCATCCAATTAGATATGCAATATAGAACATTCAGTTAATGTTATCCTGTGTGTGTGTGTGTGTGTGTGTGTGTGTGTGTGTGTGCGCATTTACTATTTCAAAATGTGTTCTTTGAACTTATGGAGGGCACAGAACAGACAACGTGCATCTGCCCAGTGGTGTATTCTTTGGACCAGTAATTCATTTCTGACTGTGTAAAGGCCTTCCTTAGACCATGGTCTCCCCATAGGCATGTGACTCCACAGGCATGTGGAGCAGGCTGCTCCATTCTTCTGACCACATGCCCAGGAATGAGCATGCCAATTGTGCTAGGCCAATCAGGCTTTGCTCCGGCAGGCCAGGCTCTCAAGACTCTGTGAGCAATGCACAAGGTCCTCTTGCCAAAAAGGGAATAGAGAGTGGAGAGAGAGAGCGTCAAAGACATGGTGACATCACCTGGGATCTTGGATTCAGTCCTACCCAAAGCTGCTTCAACCTGAATTGCAAGGTTATAAAAAACAACAAATGCCCTTTCCTTCAGCCACATGAAGTTAACTTTCTATCGCATAAAAGCAAAGATATGAGTAAGATCCAAAGAAAAGTAACTATAAATAAAAAGAAAACTACCCATCGCCTCCCAACCAAGCAAAAACACCACCATGTTGGTGTATGTACGGCAGCCTGGGGATTTTTTGTTTTGTCCTGATACAGAGTTTCACTGTGTAGCTCTGATTAGCCCGAGACTCATATGTAGACCAGGCTGGCCTTTGACTCACAGAGATCCACCTGGCTTTGCCTCCTGAGTGTTGTAAAGGTTTGCATCACCATGGCTGGCTTCTATCTGGAACTCTGCTGGGGAGCCCACTGGTTCTGTTTCACTGGTGCCCTCTAGTCACTGGAGTGATTGCTTTTAAAAGCAAGAAAGCAAGCCTTCTGAGGCACAGTGTCTCAGACTAGTATCCTAACTAGCCCCATCCCTTTTATTGAAGATTAACTTTAGTTATGCCTGTGTGTGTGTGTGTGTGTGTGTGTGTGTGTGTGTGTGTGCACGTGCGCGCTCATATGCACAGGTGCCCTGAGGCCAGAAGGAGACAGGTCCCTCCAAACTGGATTTACAGGCATTTTTTAGTTCTCTGACATGGGTACAGGAAACCCAACTCTTGTCCACTGGGAGGGCAGTACTGACTTTCGAGCACCACACATCTCTTCTGCCCACGACTGGCCCTTCTTCACCTGTTTGAGCTGAGATCATGGACACAAAGCCTGGTTTCCCAAGGAGGCTGTTGCTGTCCTTCTTGTTCTTAGGGAATCCATGAGGAGGTTGGGAATCAGGTGTCCAGATATAAAACAGAAGAGAAGGGCTGAGAACATAGCTCCAGTACAACTTATCGGACCTGAGGCTGAGGTGCAACTCTCACCTCTCCGAGGGGCGGGAGGGAATGGAGGAAACAAAAAGCCAATGATGCAGTTCTGGAAGCTAGGCCTGAATTGTCTGTGAGATCCATCAAAAATGTGTTACTTACTGGCTAACGGCCCTGGTGCATGAGACACCCACTATTTAAGGATCAGGTTACTATACCTTGTCTCACCTGTAATGTAACTTTGTTCACTTTTCCATGAGCAATAAGGAGATCATACTAAAGCCACTGTTGGTCTTTATGAAGAATATAGTTCATGTGCCAATAAAGAATATAGTTGATGTGCTAATTAGCTGTGGCTTTTAATAAGTATTGTAGTACGGCTGGGTGTGGTGACAGACTACTGTCAACCCAGCGCTTAGAGAAGTTGAGGCAGTGGAGACTGAGTTTGAGAGTTTAAAACCAGTTTGGACTTTATGGTGAAGCTGTAATCCCTAGCACTACAGACACGGGGGGAAGCTAGGAGGACTGCCCCAAGCTTAAGCATGAGCTACATAGTAAGATTCTTCTAAATGAAGCAAAGCAAAAGCCAACAACAACAGAAGCAAATCCACAGTATTATAATGCTTTCTTTGTCCCAAATGTCTGGGGTTTCATCAAAATCAGAAATTACCCACCCAGATCATAAGAAGAACAGAAATTACTGCACTGTGAGATACATTAACCGAGAAAACAATAGTAGAATTGGTTGACTTGGGACTGTCTAAAAATAGCAAAGAATGACTCTCATGGCTCCAGATGCCCAGACAAATGCATAGAATAGAGAGGAAGAAAAATTGGGCTTTGGGGAAATGGTTCAATTCGAAATATGCTGGCCACACAAGAATAAGGATGTGACTTCAAGGCCCTGAGCAGGAGCCGGGCTGGGCAGTGAGCACCTGTGATCTAGCTCAGGGGACAGGAAGACCAGAGCACCCCTGGGGCTTATCGCCCAGCCAGTTTAGCCAGAGCAGCAAACTGTCTGCTAGATCAGAGAGCCAGTCTCAAAAAATACGCTGAAGTGGGATCCAGGAAAACACCTGGTGCTGACCTCTGACATTCACACTCCCATATGCGCATGCACATACACACAAGCAAAAAGGAAACTATTTTTCAAATGATGAACTTGAAATAATGAGATCCTGGTCACAATTATCGCTGGGATCGGGGAAGACGAGAAATATTGCAATAAGTGGGAATTAAGTAAGCGAGACTAAAAAAAGAGAACAAGCCCAGCAGGTGTACAGGGTGGCTGGACTATACAGGAATCTAAGGAATCGAGTAAATATCCCAGGGAAAGAGGAAGAGAGCGACCCTCGAATGGTTCAGCACACTGTGTCCAGATGCTGACTTCTGTGCCCTAAGATCGTACTGAAGTCCTGGGTGTGGGCACTGTCGTTACTATCATCATCGAACAATCTCCTGTCTCCATGTCGCATAAAAATTGTTCTCCATCACCTCTGGTTGGTTAATAAAGGGCTGAACACCCAGTAGCTGGGCAGGGGAGGAGAACTGAGGCGGGGCTTCTGATCTCAGTTAGGGGGTCCACGGTGGAGCAGGGAGGGGGAGAAGAAAGAAGGTCACCACGAGGGAGTCGCCATGAGGACAAACATGGCGCAGGAGCAGCTAGGGTGAGACTAAATGCTGGGAAGTAGGCCAGGTCTGCCTAGCTGGGTTAGAATGCATGAGTGTCTGTCTGCCCAGCTGCAGTGCTTTGACGCTTGTTAATAAATGTAACCTGTATCCGTGTCATTATCTTGAAGCTAGAACGGGCATAAAAACAAAACAAAACAAAAAAAACACGCTTATGTTTTTACAAGCAACTGACCTGCTCAGACACCAGCCCATGAGCTGAGCCCTCCAGGTCCTCATGGACGCGGTCCAGCAGCCAGAGCAGGAACTCCAGGGCATCGTGTTGGGAGTTGCCTTGGAACTGGGAGCCGTACTTAGAAACAGCATTCTGAAAGGAAACAAAAGATGAAAGTCACCTTGAGCCTTGGCACGAAGGAATAAAGATCTATAAGCACCCGGCTACCAAGCAGCCATCGAAGGAATGAAGATCTATAAGCACCCAGCTACCAAGCAGTCATCATTCAGCCTTGACCTGAGATGACGACATAGAAACAACATGGGTGGGAAAAGTGTTTCCTGACACAAGCTGGTATATGGGTATATGGCTCAAGCCCCTGGAAATTCATGAGGCTGTCTCTGCAGAACGGTGTGTGTGTGTGTGTGTGTCTGTGTGTGTGTGTCTGTCTGTCTGTGAGTCTGCGTCCGTGCGTGTCTGTGTGTGCTGTAGATGTAAACTCTGGTCTTCACACTCACACGGCAAGCTGTCTCGCCAGCCTCTTTGCTAACTTCCTTCAGAGTGTCCACCACATGCCTTCCCTGAAGTTCTCCTTTGATCACTGGGATCCCATGAACTACTGATCTCCACTTCATCATTCTCTTCCCCCCCCCCCGCCTCTCTCTCTCTCTAAGTTCACCTTGCAGGAAAACGCCCTGCTTGCTCTGCCCTCCTTGGCTGATTGCATTAATTCTCAGGGCTTCTACTCTCTTTGGCAATGACCATAAAGACAGCAAAACTGACTTCCTGAAGTACAATGGCTGTGGGTCTTCATTCTGACCACTTCCAGGTCACCCAGGTAGGGCTGCCTGACTTAGCAAACAAAAAATAGAAAACATCTGTGCTGGGGGTGCAGGTCATTCCTAGAACACAGGAGGCCCTGCTTGTTCAATCCCCAGAACTTGCAGAAGAAGGAGGAAGAAAAGGAAGAAGACACTACACTAAAGAGCTACTCATTGTTTACTTGCAGATACTATTAACAGGGCATCCCTACCCTACCCTTAAGCCAGCCACACATCTGTCCCCAGCACCACACAGCCAGCCCCTCAACTCTCAAACCTACCCTTAGCATTGATGTCCTCTCTGAATCGCCCTCCCAGGGGCACCCTAGCATGGGATTTGTCCCCTCCAGCCCACTGGGTTCATCGTAGACTAGACCAGCCTTCCCACAGCCCAGTTAATATAGCCAACCCCTCCTTATCCTACTATTCAGCCCAAAATAGTGCAAACTCCTTCACTCTCAGGTCCGAACTCACACCTCCCCCAGTGTCTCTCCCTCTCCTCTCTTCTATCCTCCTTCCTTAACCCCCACACCCCAGGGTAGTTGAGATGACATTGAACTTCTGATCCACTTGTCTCCACCTCCCGAGCACCAGGATTATAGATGTGTGCCATCATGTCTGCCTCCTGCCAGTTTCAGAGCCCCAGGTGGATAAAGCCATTCTAGTGCCCCAAACATACTTTCTGGCTTCCAGGGTATACACTGGCAATTTTGTCTAGCCTCCCATACGAGTTCATTGTGAATTCTTTCTCTCTGCCTGGCTACCTTGCAATCAAAGCCTCACAAAGAATTTGACAACTTCAAGAGAAAACATGGATCTTTATGAGAAAACTGTGTAGACGCTCAGTGTATAAATGCACTTGCCGCCCAGCATGACAGTCTGAGCTCAATCTCCAGAGCCCATGGTGGAGGAAGAGAACCTTCAAGGTGCCCTTTAACCCCCCACACAAGTGCTGTGCCACAGGAGTGTGTGTACACAGTGTGTGTACCCATCCCACACAGACACACAATTAATGATAAACAAAAATCAAACTCTCTCTTCATAAGCCTAGCAATTACACTCAAGGAGACAGAGACACAAGCAAGGATACTCCTATGGACCAAAACGATCTTCGAGAAAGCTAGCTGTGGTGCCTCACACCTGTATCCGGTACCCTGAGGGCTAAGGCAGGAAGATCTTAAATTCTAGGATAGCCAATGCTACACAGCAAGACCTCTTCACAGTGGGAAGTTCTGGTGTCTTTAAAGACTCACGGATTCTGATTGTCCACAGCAGCAAACTGTTTGCCTCATGTGGGCTCTGAGAGGGGCTCTTTGCCAGCTGCAGGTAGTTTAATCTGAGGACTCTGGAGAGGGAATAAACGCCAGAGCCCAGAGAGACAGAGGGGATCTTGGAGAAAGGAGGGCTGCTGCTGCTCCCTCCCCGCCCCCGCGCTGCTCCCGGTTATTGCTGATTTAATTTGATGAAAAGTTGGAGAGATCCTGAAACAAAGATTGGACGTGCCCCAACAAACCTGGTGACCCTAACCAGCAGAAGGTAGCTAAAGAGGACTCCGCCTCCTTTTCCCACTAACCTTCTTTCTGGTGTTGGGGTGTTGGAAGGGATTGGAGTGGAGAAGGGATAAAAAGGCATAAAAAGTATAAATAAAACAGTTTTTAAAAATAACACTAAGACCTCTTTCTCAAGAAACCAAGGGTTAAGGGTTAGCTCAACGTGGAGAGTTTGCCTGGCCTGCATAGGGCCCAAGGCTGGATCCCAGAACTACCAAGACTGCACTGGAACAAAAATACCACATACTTCAGGTGAGTAGTGACAATCGGTATGCCTGTCCCATAGCACAGCATAGCTAGGCCCTCTGCGTGACTGAGTGTGTGTGAGAGAATGTGAATGTGAGTGAGTGTGTGTGTGTGTGTGTGTGTGTGTGTGATCTCTTCCAAACGCTGGTGATTTTGAACATATTTCTTCTAGCTATTTAATAGTTCTACCTAGATTTTTTTTTTCTGCCCTATAATTTTTACTGTTTCTAGTTCACCTCTTGGTGTTTTATCTGTAACTTTCAAAACAAAAGTGAAGAAACTGGGCATATAGCACAGTAGGAAAGCACTTCCCTAGCATGTGAGAGGCCCTGAGTTCAATCGTTAGTACCACAAAACAAAACAAAAACAGAGAGTAACAAGAGACACTTCTACAGGAACATCAGAAGTTCAAGGTCACCCTTGTCCACTTAGTGAGCTAGAAGCCAGCCTGGGATATTTGAGATCTCTCTCTGACAATCAATAAAAAAAAGAAAAAAGAAAAAGTTTTTAAAAAAAGAAAATGTTTCTAGTATGTCGTTGTATATCTAAATTTGATTTTAGGCACATAAGCTAAGAGAAATTCCAGATGGCTGAAACCCTCATTATAACCATATAAAAACTAGAAGGCCATAAAATAGAACACATATCAAAAAGCATGCTGTATCTGGGTGTGGTCGTGTATGCCCAGCAGGGAGACTGACAGAGAAGGACCCTGAGTCCAGACCAGCCACAGCTATACAGTAGACTCTGTCCAAGGATAACAACAACAACAACAAAAACACTTTATTTTTACAAAAAGACATGACACAAACAAATCTAAAGCTTCCAGCACTGGGGGAGAAGAAAAGAAACAATCTGGATAAATGTCTGCAGAGAATGGCACAGGACTGAGAACACAGGGAAGCAAACAGAAGGTTAAGAACAAAGCACAATGGATACACAAACAATGGAGGAGATAGTTCCAAGAATAGACTAGACAAGAAACACGGGAAGTACTTCCACCTCACGCCTAGTCCAAAACAAACAGAGAGAGAGAAGTAAAAACAGGACGGTTTTTCCAACCTGTTAGCAAATCAGAGACCTCCGCTCTAAAGCCTGGCAGCCAAAACAGGAATGGGGTCTTGGAGACGCCATTCTCAACCTTCCTAATGTTGTGACTTTTAATATCCTCATGTTATGGTGGTCCCAACCCCCTTTAGGGAGTTAAAGGGGTGTTGACCCACAGATGGAGAAGCACTGTCTGTTGGGACTGCAAAGAGAAGTGATCGTAAGTGTTCTCGCCTCTGAAGGGTTAGTGTGCGTTGTTGGCGGCTATGTGATAATTCTGAATTAATACCTCCTCAGAGCATCATAGGAGATACACTACAGACACACAGAATTTTTCTCGTCGACCGTGAACATCTCGTCTAGGCGCGGTGGCACACTCTTGTAGTCCCAGAACTCAGGGAGGCAGAGGCAGGCAGATCTCTGTGAGTTCCAGGCCAGCCTGGTCTACAAAGCGAGTCCAGGACAGCCAAGGCTACACATAATAATAATAATATTAATAATAATAATAATCTATGTGTAGTATAAATAAATAATAATAAATAATAATGATCAAACCCTTTGAAATTGATTTAGAAATTTAAAAAATAAATAGGTGCCAGCTCTGGTGATACACACCTATGAGCCCAGTACTCACTCGAAGGCAGAAAAACATTTCTGTGAGTTCTAGGCCAGCTAAGGCTACATAGTGAGAGCCTGTCTCAAAAACTAAAGAAGGAGGAAAGGAAAGAAGAGTAAACATTTAAGATGGGGTGATGATTTCCCAGGTACCTGCACTTGTTAGAGCTCATTAAATTTGCCACTTGAGGCGGATAGACGCACTTCACTAATAACTCACCCCTCAAAAGGCTTGTTTTTAAAGTAAAATTAGACAGTTATTAAAAGTCATTTCTTTTATTTTGAAAACGTGGTTCCACTCATGGAATTAAATATTCGGAAATAATCAGAACTGAGAACTATGATTTAAATACAGGGAAATTAGGGCTAGAGAGGGCTAAGTGGTTAGGAGCAGGGACTGTCTTTCAGAAGATTCAGACTTGATTCCCAACTCCCATATGATGGCTCATGACCAGCTGTAACTCTGTTCTCGAGGATCCAAGGCCCTCTTGGGTGTTGCCGTGTAGTGCACAGACATAGATGCAGGCAAAGCAGCCATTTACATAAATGAAAGAAATAGACTTTTTAAGTAAATTATATATAATATACTTTATTTTACATATACTATATATATTATATTATACACACAAACACACATATACAGGAAATTTCATTACAGTGTGCCAACTGGAAAACTCAATAGTGCATCAGTTTTTCCACAAAGTACTGGTACATTTGATGAAATAGTCAATCATTAAAAGTCAAGTTCTATGCACTATTCTAATGCCAAAAGGTCTTGTAATGATCCTTGTAATGGAGGGAAGACAGCAGGGTGTGGAGGGGTGTGCAGACACAGGCAAATCTGAGTCCAAGCCCAGTCTGGTCTACATAGCAAGCTCCAGGCTAGCTAGGTCGCATAGCCCTCACTCAAATACAAACCAGCAAAGCAGGGTACGGTGGCCACACGATGGTGCATGCCTGTAATCCCAGCACGCAGAGGGGCAGAGGCAGGCAGATCTCTGAGTTCGAGGCCAGCCCGTTCTACAAAGCCAGGACAGCCAAGGCTACACAGAGAAGCCGCCTCAAACAAACAAACAAAAAGCCAACAAACAGAATACAGAAGTAGAATTTCTAATTATTTACAGGACACCAGCAAGTTTACAACAGTTTATCTCTCAGGAGTTACAGATTTTTCTTACTCCTTTTAGATCTTTCTAGTTTTTTTGCAGTAAACATATTCAACTACATCACTAGAAAAGCAAAAATTTATCGAAGAGGATTTTTAAAGTGTATTTAATCCGCCAGGCGGTGGTGGTACAAGCCTTTAATCCCAGCACTCACGAAGCTAGGGCAGATGGATCTCTGTGGGACTGAGGCCAGCCTGCTCTACAGAGCTAGTTCCAGGACAGCCAGGGCTACCTGGAGAGAAGAAAACTTGTCTTGCAAACCAAAAAAAAAAAAGGAGGGGGGAGGTTATTTACACAACATTTTGCTAAATCAAAAGTTGGTCCTACTACGGATGAGAAACTGATGACTGTGGCTCAAAACAGAACACTGTAAACCCATGCTATTGAAGGGGTGGGGTCAAGTCCCAGAATGATCTACTCTCCCCCCCCCCCCCAAGCTACATGAGCCTTTATCAATGAATTTAGCCAAAGGATTCTTGGCCTGATTTCCCCCCTTCTCCACCCCTCTCCTTCCCAGGCCTGCAGCCACTATATCCCATCTTCCATGTCCTTAATTGACACTTCATCTTTCACACCCCAACACTGGGACCCCCACACACAACAGGCAAGGCCACACCCACCGTTCCTCCAAACAAATGATGCCCTCTTGCCATACTTGTCACAGCACCTTGCATTTTTCCTTTCGGTTGTCGCCGGGTCCTAACTGAGGGCCTGCGGCTGTGTGTTAACTGACCTCTCCTCTAGGTAGTAATCCCCTGGGGCGTGGTCCCTGCCTCCAGATTCAGACTTGTCACGCCATCCCACGAGCCGGCTTTGTATTTGCCACTCGACACGCAGTCCATATTCCCAATGGAATGTCCTCACATTCAATAAACGCAAGGTGACTCGTGAAGGCGTCAATGTCCATAACAGAAGCAGAGCCCACCTGGACTTCCAACCCTGTTCAAAACCCAGGATTCTAAAATCATATCTACCTTCCAAGTCTGGTAACCTGAAAGTCCCAGGGGGCAACCCCCGATTACATCTCCCTCTTTAACTTGCTTATCTTTCAGTCCCAGGCCGGGGATACAGACAGCAGAAGAGAGGAAGGCCCGGTGAGTCACTGGCAAGGATTTCAAGCTTTCTCCCAGGCCACTTGTCACTTTCTCTGCTGCTGCTGGAGCAACTGGCTGGGAAAGAACGCTTACTCAAAGATCATCTCCCTTCCTCATCTAGGTCTGTCTGCAGGAAGGAATTGTAACTGTAGAATAAACACTCCCCAGGAACCGGGCATGTTCTCAACGCTCTATATATAACTCACTTAACACAACTACCCGTAATGAAGCAACTGTCACAAACTTCGATTTTACAGACGAGAAAAGATTACTCCCCGTCAACATCATAGAGCCCCGGAGACTCTGCTTTCTGTATGTGCGCCCACCAAGCGTGCTCCTTCCGTTCAGACAGGCTCTCGCTGAATCTGCACGCTCACTAACGGGCTAGACTGTCCTAGCAAGCCCCAGGGATCCACCAGCCTCAGCTCCCCAGCACTGGAACTACAGCCCACGCTGGGCTGACAGGCCTGCTCTGGAACACCTGGCTTTTCCCTTTTCGTCTGTGTTCTGGAGACAGAACTCATATCCTGAAGGCTGGCATGACAAGTGTTCTGTCAAGCACCGAGTCACTGCCCACAAGAGCTCGCTCTTGACCACTGTACTGCACTGTCTGTCATCTCTGAAAAGCAGGCACGGCCCAAATGTGACACCGATGACTTGTGTGTGACTACCGCAAACTTAGCGCTTCTTCAGGAATGGAGGTCGGGAGGGGAAGACAGTGGTTAGCTAGCATCCTTGCCCGTAGCAGGCCAAAAGACTTCCTCGGGAGGAAACTTAAGAACCACGTATGTCTGTGGAACGAACAAGGCCCGCCGTGTCCGCTCTCGCCTCAAATAACCATCACCAGTCCGTGGGGTGATCCTGCTCTCCACCCAGCGCTGCGTGCGGCTTTGCAGCAGGAAGAAAGCCGTGTGCATCAATTATAGGGGACACTTTCATCCCACTGGGACTTCAGCCCGGACTCATGACCCCTCAGCATCCCCGGCGAGGGGGCTGCAATCAGGCAGATGACAAATGCTATCTTCTGCTCACACACCGTCGGGATTTAATATGAATTAAATTAAAGGACGCCATCGCTTAAAACAGCACTCACTGTCCCCCCAAACACACACACACACACATCACACTACTTGAGACTACTTGACCCCCGTGTTCTCCCCGGTACCCACTGGGCTTACGCAATCCCAAGCCCCCGCGTCCAGGGTCGAACATGACCTGAAGCCTCTCACCCGCCTCCACGCCCCACTTTCAGGCCCATGTCCTCTCTACTTACTGATCACTGCCTGGATTATTCCTGGCTATTGGCCTGGCTGCGTCCTTCTCGCCTTCTGTTTTCCACGCCTACATCACCTCCTTCCCCACGCCTCGGCCTTCAAGGGCCGAATCCCCTCTCCGGCCCCTTCCAGACCCGAAGCTCTAACTCACCCTGGCCGGCAAACCCGCACTCCTTCAACAACCGCTCGCTAAACACAACGCCGCTCGGAACGCTAACGCCTGCCGGCTCTCCCCACCCCGGCTCAAAATGCCAAGGAGGAAACTAATTCCTCAAGGAAGCATTTGCAAGTGATAACGTAAACACGTCACCTCAAAACAAAGGCGCTAACCCAGGGCTGGGCTGCCTAAGCGGCGGCCACCGAGGAACCCCGAGAACTCGGTTCGGCTGACGGTTCACACGCTTTTCAAGAACCGAAACCAGAAGGCTCGGAGGAGGGCTGTGCGGGCGGCGGACGCTGCCTACCTTGAACTCGGCGGAAAGTTGGGGCGTGTATTCGCGCGTCCAGAGCGCGCGCACCAGCGCCGCCAGCTGCTCGGTGACCTCGGCGCGGCCCGGCGCCGCCCGGTAGCGCCCGAGCGCTAGGAACTCGGCCAGCAGGTCGGTGTTGCTGAGACACTGCACCACGGCGTTCATGAAACAGGTGTTGCCGTGGTTCTTCAAGCCCTGCGCGCCGGGTGGACGCGCCCCGTCGCCGGCAGACATCAGGGGCTGCGGTCCCGGAGGACGATCCAGCCCGGGGCTCCCGGGAGCGGCCGGTGCCGGGCCCGGGGCGCAGCCGAAGCCCCCGTCTCCATCGCCATCGTAGGGGCCGGGCTGGGCCGGGGGCCGGGGCGGCGAGTCCCCTGAGCCGGAGCGGCTGCCCAGAGCCAGCAGGAAGCGCTGGAGCAGGCGGCGCAGGGAGCGGCGGCGGCGGGGCCGGGGCGCGGGCGGCCCCTCTCCCAGCGCGTCCCCCGCGCCCGGATCCATGCTGGCCGTGGTCGGAGGTCCGGGAGCGCAGCCCCCGGGTCCGAGGTGGACCGGCGGCCCCCCCGGTCCTCACCGCCTCCCGGAGGCTCCGGGCGCCGGCTACCTGAGAGCCAGGTGTGCGGGCACCGGGCGAGGGCGGAGCCAGGGGCGGGACCGCCCCGCCCCGCCCCGCCCCGCGCGGGAATCCGGCCTTGGGGCAGCGCCCGCCGCCGGGCTCCCGCCCCTTCGGCCCGGGCTAGGAAAGCGCTCCCCCGGCGCCCGCCTGCTGGACTTCCCCGCCCTTCCTTCCCGCCTCGGAACGGGCCTTTCGCCTCTGCTCGCCTTCCCCGCCCGAGCCTAAGCTGCGGAGATCTCACGGGGAGGGGAGCTCCGGAAGCGCCCTGGGAAAGCAAAGCCCCGGCTCCGGCCAAGTTTCTGGTGGTGGAAGCCAGGTGAAGACTAAGAAGGATGACCGGCGAGCGGCGCCCCTCTTCACGCTCAGGTGTCCTGCGAGGCGCGCGCTGGCAGCTAGGCTGGCATCGGCCCGGGCCCAGGTGTATGCGGGCGGATGGCGCCTCCTCCCTGCAACCTTTGTCTGCACCGGTCCTGCACCCAGGACCTAAACTGGGTGGGGGGTTGTTTTTCTTTTTCTTTTTTTTTCTGTTTGTTTGTTAATTACACAATAAGTAACAGTCATTTTTCAAAAACTTGGGACACTTGGTCGTTTCTTGTTTTCATATTAAAGGGAGGTCAGCGAGGTTAAGGAGACGAAAGGAGAGAAAAACGGAAACTCGATCCCCCGGTGGGTGCTCTTCGGAGTTCAGGCCCTTTACAGCCCTTAGTGTTGGCTTGGCCGGAAGTTTTCCAGGTCTCAGGCGCGCCCCCTACTCGGTCGCCGTTTCACTCCTCCACGCAAAATCCTGGAGGTATCCTTGCCCAATCAGGATTAGTTTGGCCTTGCCCCGCCCATGATTCCCTGGGTAACCCAGGAGGCCTCTGCTCCTTTTATCCCCTGTCAGGTTTATAATTAATCAGGCAAGGTCTTGCAAAATGAATTTCTCATCAGTTTCTTGTTCAAAATGAGATCGGCAGCTTTCTGGAGTCCGTGTTACGTCAGCACCCAGAAATGTGACTCGGTGTCTGATAAATAAGTGCTCATCATTTATTAAGTATCCTTCTCTATCTTTCACATAGGACTGCAGCAGTTGCCAGGGGCCAAAAAGCTGCGTAAGTTAAGGCTAAAGAATAAACTGTAATGTGGAGACCTGAGGTACAAAAAGGAACCATTTACCCTCCCGGAAAAAGATCCACCTAGTAAGTCCGTAAGGTTCATTCCATCCCCTGCTGATGGTGAGTCCTGAAGATGCCCTGGACATGGTCTTGGCTGATAAATGACCTCCAGAATGTCACCTTTGAGGTCATTCCAAGCCTCGCAGTAACACGCAGGGACTTCTTTTGTTTGGTTGGTTTTTTGTTTGGTGACAGTTAAAGGTTTTGTTGGTTTTGTTTTCCTTGAGGGTTGGTGAGCTGGAGCTTATCTGACTTGCATAGCCCAGGCTGCTCTGGAACCGTCCTCCTCAGCCTTAGCCTCCTGTCTGCTGGGCCCCCTGGTGTGCGGCTCCCCGTCTGACTACCTCAAGGAGTCATTGGTGGCTCACCCAGTCTCGGATCTGCCCTCACGCTAGACGTCGGAGCAGAAATACATTCTTCCTTTCTTGACAGCCAATTTGATCAAGTTAAGAATCACCTAGGAGCCGGATGGCGGTGGCGCACACCTTTGGTGCCAGCACTTGGGAGGTGGAAGCAGAGGCAGGGGGATCTCTGTGAGTTCGAGGCCAGCCTGGTCTACATAGTTAGTTTCAGGACAGTCAAGCCTACACAGAGAAACCCTGTCTCAAAAAAAAAAAAAAAAAAAAAAAAAAATCACCTAGGACCGTCTTTAGGATAGTATAGTAGCCTGAAGACCTGAGTTTGAATTCTGTGAACCACATGATGGAGAGAACTGAACACCCCAGATTGTTTTGGAGCCTCTATATGTGTACTATAGCTATATGCTATATATATATATCACACATACTAATAAACAATTTTTTCAAAATCACTTAGAGAGGTTAAAGCGTACCTCTGGATAAGACTGTCAGAGTGAGAGGATTAACTAAGCTGATTTCACTCTAAATGTGAGTGGCCCTATCACACAGACTTCAGGCCTGGAGGGACTAAGGGAGCTAAGGAAAGAGCCCCCTGCCTGCACTGGCATCCCCCTCTCCTTCCTGTCTTCAGTGATGGAGTACTTATGCCTCACCATGAGCTTCTGCTCAGGTGCCTAAGGCAAAGCCACCATGGATCAAGCCCTGTGAACCCATGAGTCAGAACAAACCATTTCTCTTCCGGTGGTTTCTGTCAGGTATGTTGACGCAGCTATACAAAAGTTAATACACCTGCCCAAAAGATCTGGGTTCAACCCCAACTGCCCCGGCCACTTCACCAATGAACTGATGACTTAAAGGGTAATTTGGGCTAAGGAGGTTGCCCCATGTGTGAAGCCCTGGCCCCATCCTCATCACTACATACATACACACACACACACACACACAGGTAATCTCACCTCATCTTATTTTAATAAGAAAATAGCATCCCTCTCTGGGAACAGATCTGGAGGAATGTGTCCTGCTGATGTTTTTGTGCGCTGTGTATTGAAATGTTGATTTCGGTCCCCACAGATCTGGTTACAGTGGGACTTTGGCATTGTCATTATTATGAAGCATCTCCTGGCTTGGCAGGTTGTAAGCAGTGTTCTCCTTCTGATTGGTTAGATAAAGAGCTGAGAGGATAAGGTGGGGCTACCCAGCCCAGGTTTGGGGGGGGCGGGGGGGGGGAGTTGCCATCAGGACACAACTGGAAAAGGAGCAGGCAAGGCCAGAGTAAGATGGCAGTTAACAGGCCATGTGGCTGGGAAGCAGGCTAGAATATAGTGCCTGAAGCTTTTAATAATATAATAGGTCTTTGTGTCATAATTGGAGAGCTAGAATATAGAAAAAAAAATTTGCGTTTTACAGCAACGCCCATAGGTTTGGATTTTGTGAGACACAGAAAAGAGGTTATGGTCGGAAGACGGCACCTTCAAATTTATTAATAATAGAAAAGAACTCAAAAAAAAGTATACTCTGCACAAACTTTTCCTTAACATGTCAGTTTCGGCATACAATTTAAGATAGTAAAACGTATAAAGGAAAGAAGACACTTAAAGTATTTAGACTACAGAACAAAAATAGATGTGAGAAATCAAGACGGGTGCTGGGGTGATCCAAACTTGGTCCTTGGTGCAGGGTGGAGGCTGGGAGGCGCTTCACGAGTCAAAGGGGAACTTCCACCTCAGGATGGCTCCGTCGGCGCTCACACTGATGATGTGCTTGTTCCCAGGACTTACCCGGATGCCCATGATGTGACCGCTGTGTCCCACCCCAACGTGAGTCACTTCACCCTCGTTATAATCCCAGACTTTGATCAGATGGTCGTGTCCGCCTGAAAAACAGTCACGTAGCGTTGCTGGCACGTCATAGCAGAACACAGCTGCCTCGTTCTCAACACATTTCCCCACGTGCCCACTTGGAAAAAGAAAGATCACTATGCATAGGAAGCTTCTTCTTGATCTAAAAGTCTGTGTGTGTTGGAGTAAGTGTGGAGGGAGAGGAAAGCACTGCCCGGGGTTAACCTCTAAGCACGCCCCGATTTTGTTTCCTTCCGCTCTTTCCTCCACCACTGCCTCACCTCACCTCTGCGTGTGACTGGGCGTCCGCTCTGTGTAGTTTGGTGTCTTTCTTTAAGTCACTGAGCGTATGGAACTTTGGTTTACCTGAAGCACTCGTAATGTCCTGAAGAATCAAAGAGCCTGACAGTAAAGTGTCTTGATGATGTTTCAGAGGTCCTACGGTAAATGTCCCCAGATAATGTCCCCCTGCCTCATTCGTGGGAGGGAGTTGAAGCAGAGCATTCTTTCACAACAACAGATGGTGGCCTGCCTATTCTAGCACTCAGGAGTGTGAGGCAGGGGGAGCACAAGGTCAGGGCCAGCGTGAGCTACATATAGCGAGACCCTGTCTCAAAACAAAAACAATGAAAAACAACCAAAAATGCAGAGGAAGCCAACTAGAAGTAGAAGGCCCAGGCCATTTTAAAGATTCATCTCTACCCTAAGGAGCGAAGGCAGCGATGCAAAGCTCTGCTTTTCTTTAGGTGCCATACACACGTCTTCCCTCATAGATGTGTGACTTTTGGACTTTCCCAGCCTTGGTGGGTCTGGGCTGAATGTAACCAGCGAGTCCTTGAGACCCTCGACCAGCTCTCCCGACTGCCTCCCAACTCGGAGTTCTCTGCCCTCCAAGTGAGACAGCCTTTCTTCCCTCCTCACAGACTAACCTGTAACAAAGTGCCCTCCTTCCTGAGTGATGTCCATCCCGTTGATGGACCCGGACAAGGAACCTTCCAACTCTCTGATTACCGAGCCATCAAATACTTCCCAGTAAGCAATCTGGAATTCGGGAGGGAGAGAGGCAATAGACAGCAGCCAGTGCATTGGAATCGTCCACACTCGCTAACAAAAGATGCTTGGTTCCTCTTTATATAGAAGGTAGCAAAAATACACCCTGGGAGGGGATTATAAATAGGCCTCGGCAAGGGGGTGGAGGAGCCATTTTATTATTTTTAGTATTGGTTTTAAATTTTGCATGCTATTTAAAGAGATGTTGATATGCAGTAAACCTGGATTGTGACAGAAAGAGATTTTTTTTTGATAAGGCGAAGCAGACCGAGCCTGCTGCGACATGCGAGATAAAGAGGGAGCCACTGTCGGCTCTGCCTCCAAGCCTGGCGGGAGGGTTTGGGGGGATGGGGAGGGAACGTTCTGGAGACTGGGCTTTGTGAAGTCACCACCCACCGTCCGCCTCCCCTCAGCGTCCCCCACTCCCCCAAATCCAGAGACCGGGCCTGCCCTCACCATCTCCATCTTTATCCACCACCGGACTCCACCTTGTCCTCCTGGACCAAAGCTATGACTTATTCCAAAGGGGGGGGGGGGTTTAAAGACACTGAAACCCTGACCTTGGTGCCTGCCCAGGGATTGGAAGAGGAGGGGAGGCTCTCCTCTGACTGCGCTGTCAGTGTGGGGCCAGAGCATCGCCCATGAGGGGTCAGAAGGCAAACACTGCACCAGTGACACACTGTTCGCGTGTAACCCACGCGCACCCTGCGCTTTAGCGAGTGTCTCCAGATTACTTACAGTACCCTATCGCATCCTGTGGAGGCTTGCGTGAATAGCTGTTACACTGTGTAGGAAATAATGACCCAAAGAAGTCCTGGACATGTTGAAGAAAGATGTGGTCCACCCCCAGCCCCCACCCCAAGGAACTTTCGGACATTCACAGTTGACTGCAGCTGCACACTTGTGGGCTGGGAGCTCTGGGCTGCGGAGGGAGGAGGTGCTTACCTTCCTGTCTGTGCCACTGGTGATGATCTGGAATTCGTCAGGGTGATAGCAAACACACTGGAATAGGGTGTTGGACAGGATCATCTGATTCCTCCTAAGGCGCCTGGAAAGTAGAATTAGATGCTCTGGAACCCAACTTTCCCTCCCCTGGAAAGTATTTTATCACTTGGTGTGCAGTTAGGCAAGCTCGGAAGGGGCTGGACTTTCTCTAACTTCTCATGCTGCTTACAAAGCAGATGTCTGGGGAGCTGGAGCGATGGTTCGATGGTTGAGAGCATGTGCTGTTCTTGCAGAAGACCCGAGTTTGGTTCCCAGAACTGGCATCAGGCCATTCACAACTGCCTATCGATCTGGTTCCGGAAACTCTGATGCCCTCTTTTGGCTTCACAAATACACACATGTAATTTATATGTATTATTATTATTATTATCATCATTATTATTATTATTGAAATAGACTTCAGGCTACTCTGCTCTGTATTCCTCCCACTACGTCAGTCAACAACAGTAAAAAGACATGGACAAATGGTGGCAATCCTTCCTTCCTTCCTTCCTTCCTTCCTTCCTTCCTTCCTTCCTTGTTTGTTTTTTGAGACAGGGTTTCTCTGTGTAGCCTTGACTGTTCTAGAACTCACTCTGTAGACCAGGCTGGCCTTAAACTCAGAGATCTGCTTGCCTCTGCCTCTGGAGTGCTGGGATTGAAGGCAAGCACCGCCACTGCCCCAAATGGTACTCCTTTCTAAAGACATGGCATGAAACTAGGGAAACAGTAAGTTCCAGAGAGAAGGAAGGAGAAGATGCTGAATCCAGAGCCAGCCTACCACCTCTCAAAGGCCACCGCTGGAGCTGCATGGCACTCCCTGAAAACTGAGTGGCAAAGTGTGGGGCAAGATTGTTTCAATGGCTGTTACCAGGCCCAGCCCTAAGGGTCTGGAGTCAGAAGGTGGGGATGGAGGCCCAGAGACTGTTTCAAACCAGCCTTCCCAGAATGCCACATGCACACCAGCTGGGGAAGGCCTGCCTTAGACACCACAGAAAAACTAAATGCACTCTAAAGCCTTTGGTCAGTAGTAACGTGATGTAGAAATGAAAGTTTAGGGTTTAGAGGACTTGCAGTTTTAAGATTAGGGTGCTAAGTCCGCCCAAGAAGCACGGCTGTACTGCTTCTTCCAGAGCTGGTGTGCTGGTGGCTGGTCTCCCAGGCCCAGCCCTCGACTGAAAATGCACCTCCTGCCGTTTCTTCTCATAATGGAAACTTTCAAACATTATTTGAGCTGGGGATTTTCAGAGGCTTTTGCTACAAATTAAATATTCCAGCTACAATCAAAAGGAAGGTATTAAAGATTCGAGGCAGTCATGGGCCAGCCACTAAAATAAACTCAGATACCACTCCTCAGCACACACTTTCCCAATGTGGAGGTCACGTGTCTGTGGGTATGGGCCTTGGACCAGCAGCTCCATGTGGGAGCTTATTAGACATGCAGAGACACAGGTGCCATGTACACTTATCCAATGAAAAGCTACAGACAGGGCTGGGCGTAATGGCACATGCCTTTAATCTCAGTACCGGGGGTGGGGGGGGGCAGGGCAGAGGCCTGCCTGAAGCGTTCCGGGACATCCAGAGGTACATAGTAAGACCCTGTCTCGGACAGAGAGTGGGAGGGAGGGAAAGAGAGAGAGAGAAAGAAAGGAAGGAAGGAAGGAAAGGAAAGAAGGATGGATGGAAGGAAGGAAGGAAGAAAAAAAGGAAGATCTACATACAAATAATATCTTCCAGTGACACGAGATCCAAGTTGAAATCAGGCCTAACCGGAAAACAGGGTCTTGCTTTGCTTCGGGATTTTGTTTTGTATTGCTGTGTGTGTGTACATGTGTGTGCGTACACACACGTGTGATAGTATGCGTGTGGAGGCCAGAAGTTGACACTGGCCATCTCCCTCAAGCACTCTCCACCATACAATGTTTGGAGGCAGGATCTCTTGCTGACCCTAGAGCTCACTGGTTCAGCTAGAGCAGGTTCTAGGGATCCTCCTGTCTCTGCTTCCCGGGTGCTGAGGTTACAGGCATGTGGCACCGTGCTTGGCTTTGACACAGGTCCTGGAGCTTCAAAATCAGCTCCTTGTGCTTACACTCTACCAACTAGACAGCCCTTCTTTCGGCGTTTTAATATATTAATTTAAAATGCCCTGCTTTTGCCTTCAGTCCTCACTCCCCCCTCTCCAAGCAACAACAGTTCAGCTGGGCATGTTGACGTGCACCTTTTCGCGTCAGGCTGATGTGGAAGGATCTCTTGCGCCAAAGGATTCAAGACCAGCCTGCACAACACAGTGGTAGCCCATCTCAAAAAAGGAGGAACATGCTCTTTGAGCAAAGGCAGCTATCCCAGCAGTGGTAGAGGGGTATTGGGTGGAAAAAAAGATGGGGAGGGGGGTGGTTCCAAAATAAAAACACAGCAAAAAATGCCAACAGCCAAAAGGAAAAAAAAAATACAATCCTCTTTGAAAACCCTCTGAATGGCTCCAATGATGAAGTTCACGTGATCTGTGCCACCTAGTTTGGCATTGCCATCTTCTGTGGGTCTGTGATTTACTCGTAGTGTAAACCGTCCCTAGCAATGTGGCCAGCTGGGGGATGACCCTCTCAGTGCTCCCTACAAAGGCAGGCTCATGACCTAGCAGCATGACAAGAGGAACCACCTGCCCTGTAACTTTCCTTGTTGATTTGCAACATTTAGGTTGAATGGATTCACATTAAGTCATGCTCCACTGCATGTATCTGGAAAACTACTTCCCCATCTGCCCAGAATCATCTCCTGGTTCGTTCTTCCTGGAGACCAGATTTCCCCCAGTGACATCTACAGGCCTTGGCCAGCAAGGGAGGCCAAGGCCTTCTCAGAACCTTTCACTGCTGTGGTGCTTAGTCCTCAGTGTCACGCTGACTGGAGGTGCGAGTTTGGGCACGTCTGTAAAATGTCTCCAGAGAGGGTCGTCTGAGTCGGGAAGGCCACCTGTTCTGTTAGCTGGCATCCCCGACTGAATGAAAAGGACAGTGTAGGACTGGAGCTTTGACTCAGTGGTTGACAGTGGCTTGGTGGTTAAGCGCACTGGCTGCTCTTCCAGAGGACCAGGGGACCAGAATTCTAGTCCTACCACCCACGTGGTAGCTCACAGCTGTCTGTAACTCCAGCTGCAGGGGATCTGATGCTCTTTTCTGGTCTCTGCAGGTTGCCAGGCATGCGTGTGGCATATACCACATGCAGCTAAAACGCCCATACATGAAAAATAAGAGATAAAATCCCCCAAGAAGCCCTTACGGGAGAAGGTGAGCCAAGTATCACATGCAGTTCTCTCCCTCCTAACTGCAGACACAGTGTGACCCTCGGACTCCTGCCGTCCACCTCCTCCTCACCGTAGCGGACTAGTCTCACGCTGTGAGCCGAAACAAACCCTTTATGCCTTAAATTGCTTCTCTGTCAAACATTCTGTCACAGCATTGAGGAGAGAAAGTAAACCAACCCTCTTTGGGGATCTTTCCTTGTGTTCAGGAAAGCGCTGGCATGGTTGGTTTTATTTAAATGTTGGGCTGTCCTCCCCGCCCATTCCCAGGTACCTACACGAGGTCCCAAATGATGCAGGTCCCGTCGGTGCTGGCAGTGACGCACTCCTCGTTGTTCTTCTTCACCCTGATGCAGGACACAGAGGACTGGTGCTCCTTCAGGGCCTCCTGCAGCTTCTGAGTCTGGCAGCCGATCTGCCACACCCTCACCTGTGGGCGCCAAAGCACGAGCTGGCAAAGCACACCCAGGACTTTCGGAGGGGATCAAGAAAGAAACAGTGTTTCCACCTCAGCCCTGTGCAACTGTTTCATTCCCGGCTCGGGATCTCCATCAGGCAGCGTGGGAATGCAACACTTCCGGGACAGGAATGTGTACAAAATGTGACCATCATCCCACCAAACATGGACGGTGCTGCTACGATCTCCAGCCCTGCTGCTGCTGCTTTCCGACTTAGACAATGATCAGGCTCCCACCGTGAGAATCAATAGTACAAGGGCTTCTCCTAATGCCCAGAGGGAGAACCTGTCTCCTCATTTTCGCTGAGCATCGCTCTCAAATTTCTCATGGCATCAGGAAAGCTCTTGCTACCCAGAGCCATATTTAAACTTCAACATCAGCTGTTCAGTTTTAATCATTGGAAACCAGCATTATTCAACCTCAGAAAATCTAATAGCTATTGTCTTTTGTACATTAGAAAGAGTCTCTTACATAGCCCAGACTGCTCCTTGGACTTGGGGGTCAACTTCTGAGTTTTAGAAGTTGTGGGTCACCTCACTGGGGCCCATTATCCATTTTCTATGGCAAGAAGCAGGCAGATCTCTTGAGTTTGAGGTTAGCCTTGTCTACAGAGCAAGTTCCAGGACAGCCAGGGCTACATAGACAAAGCCTGTCTTAAAAATTTTTTATTTAAAAATTTAAATAAAAGTTTATGAAAATTATCTATACACAGGGAACCTACAATGGCTGGATGTTGAGGGTCAGGAGCTGAGGGAGAGGCTTGGAAATTCTAACAATCAGGCCGAACACAATGCAAGTGTCAAGTGTGGTTTCTGTCTCCCAAAGTAAGCTTAGGTGTCTAGAATCCACACAGTCTGGGCCAGGACAAGTTTGGGCATCGGCAAAGACAAATGCCCCTGAAGTATGACGGAGCAAGGGAGGATGTGGAGATGTTGACAAATGACAAGGGACTGAACCAAGGCCAGCGATAGCCTTCCAGAGGCGCAGAGCAGGGGCATGGCTAGGTGGATGTGGCCGGTTAGATAGAAAGGCCCCTGATGTCGCACACACACACACACACTCAGACATTTTAAAGAGAGGACAATGTTCTGCCCTTAAGAGCATGGCTGTTTCACTTTATACTTCAGGATGCTGATGTGCAGAAAGTGACAGCAGGTGCCACGAGCTGAAAGAGCCAGAAGGGAGATTTCAGCCCAGCCATTCAGTTCATTGTCTAGATTCGCCAAGGGTTTTCCCAAGATGTTGGATCTTTCTCCACTCTGAAAAACTCTTCCTGTGATAGCTGAGAAGAGAAGGAATACGCCCATGTAGACAAAAACAAAGAAGGCTTTGGGATTCAAAAACAAAAGCAGGAGAACAGGGGGAGAGCGCCCCCCCCCATAAGCCTGTGAGTGAAACGTTTTTAGGATCTTCAAAATGATTGGAAGAAAAGGTTGAATGTAGTAACATTAAAACAATAGCCAAGGCTGACATGGTGCCACACGCCTCTAGTCCCAGCATTTAGGAGGCAGGTGAATCTCCGTAAATTCAAGGCCATTCTGGTTTGCATAGCAAGTTCCAGGCAACCAGAGGCTACACACTGAAATCTTGTCGAACAATTAAAATTAATAATGATACCAATAGCAAAAAGAATCCATTCTTATATCAACTGCTTTAAGAGATAAGATGAAGACAACTGAGTTGGTGATGGGTCTTGGAGGAAAAGAATGAGTCTGTCGAACTGGCGAAACATTAACTCGGATTCACAGCTCGGTTCCAAAGAGGCTGTTTTCACATCTGTGTCTTAAACGCCCTTTCTGTCAATGGGTAGATTTAATGTCTGTTTAAAGCATTAGAACTTTAATTTATGGTGTATTTTACAATCTTGTCAAAATCGTCAAGTTTGGCCCTCCCTGAGTTCTAGTGCAGTACGTGTTTTAAAATGAAGTGGAGGTGCTGGTTAAATGGCTCAGCAGTTAGGAGCACTGGCTGCTCTTCAGAGGACCTGGGCTTGATTCCCAGAATCCACATAGCAGCTAACAACTGTCTGTAACTCCAGCCCCAGGGGATACTCTGCCCTCTTCTGGCCTCTTGAGGCACTGCATGTGCATGGTATACATTGCAGGCAAACACCCATACACATTAAAAATAAATAAAAGTTAAAACTTAAAAAAAAAAAAAAAAAAAGGGAAAAAGGAAAAAAAATGTCATTTCAGAACCTTACCTCCCCCTCTCCACCACCACTGATGATCCTCTTACAGTCACTGGTGGTGGCGATGGCCGTCACGCCAATCCTGTGGGCACTGTTAATGGCATACATCAGCCGGCCCGTCTCTGGGGCGAAGGCTCGGATTTTTCCATCATCCCATGCTGGCAAGAGGAGACAAAAGGCAGGTTGGCCCAGTCAGTGTACCTTCTCTGCAGGTTGACACTCTCCGGAATCACCAGTGAGAGTGAAAACTGGAAGAAACGGTAGCAGTGGAAGGAGAGGTTAACCTTGGCAGCCGCCAATACTCTTGTGCCCTCCGCCCCGACCTCCCAGACTGGTCACACCTGGAAAGGGGGAGGAGGAACTTTGCCTACAGGTGGATCTCATGGCAGGTGAAGGAGACTTGTTCTCACTTTACCATGAGTTGTAGACCTCTGTTCTCGCCCGTGTAATTGGTTTTTGTTTGTTTACTTATTTGTTTGTTTATTCTGGGAGTTTGGAGACAGGGTTTCTCTTTGTAGCCCTGGCTGTCCCCCAAAACGTAACTCTGTAGATCAGGCTGGCCTCAAACTCAGAGATCCACCTGCCTCTGCCTCCTGGGCGCTGAGATTAAAGGTGTGAGCCGGTACTGCCCATCACCTGTGTAGCTGTTGCCACACCTGGGATGCTTCGGGTCACAGTTCCAAAGATCGTGTGCCTTCTCGTCCCGTTGTCGTTGTCACCTGAGGCAGGGTTTCACTATGTGGCCCGCCTCCTTGAACTTTTAGTTCTGCCTCGGCCTCCTAAGTCCGTGCCCCACCTTCCCCCACCTTGAAATCTGATACTCCTTCCCTGGCTCTTGCCTGACACCCATCCTTCAGTCACCCATCCTCAGAACTTCAGTCACCCTTGATTGTGCTCCCGTTCCAAGCACACAACTCAGTGTATTGGTCAGTCCACCAGGAAGTCCTGTCAGCTCCACTGCTAAAAGGCCCAGCCTCCGACCTCCTTCCCCAGCCTCAGACCTCCTTCCCCTGCCTCAGTCCTCCTTCCCCAGCCTCCGACCCCCTTCCCCAGCCTCCAACCTGACCTCCTTCCCCAGCCTCAGTCCTCCTTCCCCAGCCTCCGACCTCCTTCCCCAGCCTCCAACCTGACCCCCTCCCCCAGCCTCCATCCTCCTTCCCCAGCCTCCGACCTCCTTCCCCTGCCTCCGACCCCCTTCCCCAGCCTCCGTCCTCCTTCCCCAGCCTCTGCAGCTCTTCACATTCCAGCCAGCGCATGCTCTCCCGAGTCCTCTCAATAGCTCCTTCCCTGCACAATTAGTCATGTATTAGGGGTTGAGATGCCCTTTTCTTTCTTTCTTTCTTTCTTTCTTTCTTTCTTTCTTTCTTTCTTTCTTTCTTTCCTTCCTTCCTTCCTTCCTTCCTTCCTTCCTTCCTTCCTTCCTTCTTTCTTTCTTTCTTTTTTTTTAAATAAACCAAGTCACCTTCCTGATCAAGACCTCCTCGAAGTTTTCCCCACTGTCCTAGAATTAAAATCCGGATTTAAAAACTGATTTTTTTTTTTTTAAGCATGTGTAACTGTGTGGGAGTGTGTATGTGTAAATGCAGGTGCTCAAGGAGGGCAGAGGAGAGCATCGGATCCCCTGGACCTGGGGTAACAATCACTGCCCAGCGTGGGTGCTGGGAACGGAGCTCTGCAGAACCAGCACTCACAGTTTGGGAGGAAGAGCTAAGAAGTGGGGAGGGGAGTAGAGAGGGTCCTCCAGGCCTTGCCAGTGATTGCTGGTGCTTTGTCTTTGGGGGGAGCACTTGAAAAGACCTAATTTAAAGACCTAATTTAACATTTTAGCATAGATTTCTGGTTGGTTTGGGTGTGGAGAATTGACTGGTGGGAAGGAGTGGAGGCAAACAGAGCCGATAGCAGCTACTGGAGTGCTAAAGAGCTGGCGATGGCAAGGACCAGGGTGGAGATGGTGGTCAGTGATGGACCTACAGCTGCCCTTTGGGATGGAGCTGCTGGAGCACAGAGATAAAGGTGTGGGAGAAACAGAGTGGGCGCAGGGATGGCCCTAAGACCCCCTGCCAGCTCTGGGTACAATGTAAGCCACTCAGGGAAGAAGACTTGGTGTTGGGGCAGAAGAGAAGGAAACGGAGCCAAGAAAAGAGGGGCTGGGCTCCTGGGTCCCTGTTCAAATAGCTTCACTCAGATCCTGATGTAAACCAATACACTTATTTTTGACTACTGGGGAAATCTGATATGTAAGACAATATTAAGAAACTATTGCTTCATAGGAAAATATTTTTAGATGCCTATACTGAAATATTTAGAGGAGGAATGATGTGGTAACTGTGAAAGACATTCATTCTTCCCAGCTAGGACACCTCCCGGGTAGAAGGAAACTCCAAGGAGAGATTGGTTTCTTGGGACCAGGTATCCTTAGCCCAGGTTAACATCGATCATTCTATGTAACCAAGAATGACCTTGAGGGCTGGAGAGATGGTGGTTCAGCGTTTAAGGGCACCAGCTGCTCTGGCAGAGGTCCTGAGTTCAATTCCTGGTGGCTCACAACCATCTGTAATGGGATCTGATGTCTTCTTCTGTCACGTAAGCACATATGCAAATAGCGCACTTGTACGCATAAATTACAGACATAAGAATTTTTTTTAAAAAAGCATGACTTTGAACTCCTAATCCCCCTGCCTCTACCTCTCAAGTGCCAGAATACTAGGTGTTCAGCTCATGGTATCTATATGCTAAAACATAAGTTTGGCATAAATTTTAAATTTGACTTTTAGGGACTGGAGAGATGAAAGTCGTGGCCCCTTTGGGAACACACCAACCCGTTCATAAGGGTTGAGTACCAGATAGCCTGCATAGGAGATGTTTACGATTCACGACGGTAGCAAAATTACAGCTATGAAGGAACAACAAAACAATGTTGTGGTGGGGGTCATTGCAGCAGGAGGAGCTGTAGTACAGGGTTGCGGCATTAGGAAGGCTGAGGACCGCTGCCCTGCGGGAAGGAGGGTGGACGACAGATGACTGTCCCTGACGACCCACACGAAGACACTAGTGGAGACCGAGAAGGACAAGAATTGAAACCACGGCCAGGACCTGGATCCAAACCTCCCTCAGGAGCAACTACCGAATGTTCTGTGGCTTGGGGGCTGGTTCGAGGCAGGCTCTCCCCTGGCACGGGCTGGCCTCTCTCTACCTTGTAAGCCCGTGCTACCATGCACAGCCTGTTACCTGAGACGATGCTCTTGCCGTCTCTCATGAAGTCGATGCCGTGGCACGTCATGTTGGGGACGGTGATCCGAAGCAGTTCCCGGTTGGACATGGTGTGCCACACCCTGATGTCCTTCTTGGCGCACGTGGCAAACAGCTCGGCAGTGCCGCTGTGAAGAAGCCGGGGGTGGGGGGTGAGAGGCGCGGGCCATCAAGGATGCAGGGCGTTTGATGTGTCTTGTAAGGAAGGATGTGGAGCAGGGTGCACTTGGGAGGTCGGCCACCTAAACGTGGGACTTAGAGATTTGGGTGGGGTGACATTCAGTTTCTCACATCCTCTGTGGGGAATAGTCACATTTTTTTTGTTTTAAACTGCTTTGGGGAGATTTGATCGGCACCCACACGAATACCCCTGTGTGTGAGGTATGTGTCTGAATTAGTCTGGAGGACTGTATACACCTAGCCAAGAGCATTTCCTGAGGGAGATATATCCATGGAATAGATTTATGGAGGAAATTCTAATGAAGTTGAAGTCCTATTAAAATTACAAAAAAGAAAAATGGCAACAAAATTCACATTTGTAGCCTCTGTTTGTTTAGTTGTGAGAAAATAAAGGCTTGTGAATAAAGGAAAGCGCCCCTGAGTAACGGGTCATTCGGCCGGGAGGGAAAGGGCCACTTTAAACGGCATATGAATCACCAAGGTGCGCTGGGGGTTCTCCTGGTACTATGTATTCTAATGTTAATGACTGGCTCCCAAGAGCTTGTCCCTGCTCAGAAGAGCACATTCTCAGGTAAACCTATCCTTGTTGTGTAAACTCGCCTAAGACATTATATCTGATTGGGTGATTAAACGGCCAATATCTGGGCAGGGCAGAATGGCTTAGGTGTGGCTAAGGGTCCCATCTTGGGACTGGATAATCACAGGAGAGAGACAGAAGGGAAGAGAGGAGGCAGGAGGATGCCACGATGGGTTGGCGTGGAGAAGAAGCCACGTGGGCTGGGAGGAAGGACTCCAGCGACGATGTGAAAAGGCCCAGATGAAGAATACAAGCAAGTACCATGGGATTATGGATGGAAGATAGACCAGATGAGGAGGATTAAGGCTGGATTAAGGATTATGGCATTGGATGGGGGCTGGGAGATGGATGGCGAGGATACTGAGACAGTGTAAGTAAAATAACTGCCCGGCCCAAGGTAAATAAGGTGATTATAAATCTAACAGGTGTCTGTGTCTTATTATTTGGGATATCAGGTTAAATAATGCCACCACAATAATCATAAAGCAAACAATAAACATTATATACCCCAACACTCATTTTTTAAATATTTTCTACAACAAAGGTGGCAGATGATTATACAGTACTTTAATTTTTACAAGAAGGGGAGTGAGTGATATTAGGGAAAAAGAAACCATCTGGTGTGTAAACTTCTGCACACTCGAGGAAAGTCAAAGCTGAAACTCCTCAATTGCTCCATTTCATCTTAAACATGTTTCAAAAGGCATTAGAGTCTCTCCTACGTTAAGGTTTACTCACTCTAGAATTAATAGGGAAAAAAGGTGGATTTCCTTCTGCACGCTTAGAGTGGGTTCAGAGTTGAAGTTGGGGGGCAAAGGAGAATTCCTCTGAGTCATCCTTTAACCTCCACATGTGTGCCATGGCAGCCATGCAACTGTATACACACCTACACACACACACACACACACACACACACACACACACACACGAGAGATGGAGAGGAGAGAGAATAAAGCTTTAAGTTATAAAAACACTAAAACCAGAAAATTCTATAGCCTGCTTCCACATAACTCCTTAGAAAGAGGGAAAATTGAACCTGTTAAGAAAGTGACCCACTTTCCAATATAGATTAACTTCAGTGAGAAGCACCAGCTCTCCCTTAAAAACACCAAACTGGAAAACCTGAACCCGAAGGACTCGGAACTAAATCTGCAGCTCATTATGTCAGGGACCAAGTCCTCAAATAGGCTTGCCTCTGTGGAACAAATGATCTCGGTGTCTGAAGTTCAAGCTAAACACAGGAAGCTCAGAACAAACACTGTGTCCAACTTCACGGAACAGACTTTGCTAAACAGGCTTGCTTTGCTTCAAAAGCAAGCCTTGCCACATGGCGGCTCGAGGTCCTTTTAAAAATCATAACTGCCGATGGAGAGTTGTCTTGGGTGGGATTATCAGGAGAAGCAGCCATTACAACCCAGGAGACCTCATGTCTGCCACCTTAAAAAAAAAAAAGAAAAAAAAAAAAAAGAAAGAAAAGGCAAAGCCTGCGGGATAAGGGACACCAACCGATGACTGGAGTGGTGGCGCCTGCCTATGATCCCAGCACCTGGGAACACGGAACTGGGAGGTGCAGGAGTTCAAGATTCCAGCCAGCCTCAGTATGTGAGGCCCTGTCTTAACACACAAAATCCAGTTTGAGAAAAGGCGCTTACGTAACTTTGTTTTTTACGGAAAAAGCTCTTTTGAATGTGCCCTTTTCCATGATGGGTTTACTTAAGAAGCCAGCATCTTTCATTTATTGATTTCTGTGTGCACGTGTGTGGGAGCGTGGAGGCTGCAGGGCGATTTGTGGGAAAGGCTCTGGTGGGTTCAAGGGCTGGTTTAAATTCAGCTTGCCAGGCAAGTGCCTTTATCCAGTAGGCCATCTCCTCTGCCCAAAATCCAGCATTAAAAAAAAAAAAATTAAAACAGAGGAAGGAAAACCAATAAAACAAACAAACATCCATTAGGAGGGCTGAAGAGATGGCCAGCCCTTAGGAGCTGGTTGCTCTTCCGAAAGACCCTGGTTCTGATTCCCGACACCCACAGGAGTCTGCAATTCCATTCCAGTTCCTCGGACTCTGATGACCCCTTCTGGCCTCTGCAGGCATTGCACGAAATGTGGAACACATACATGAGTGCGGGCAAAACACCCACACCCTTAAAACAAAAAATAAATAAAGCTTTCTGGGTCCAACAAAATAATTCGGCACGCTTTCGAAGTCTGACCAGGAACCTTGAAAGTCCCGGCATAAAGTAAAGCAATTCCCTTGCACGCTGCCGCAAATCTCTGCACGAAAACCCTCCTCCTCGACTTACAATGGAAAGACAATGTCTTTGACGGCTTCAAAGTGACACGTTGCAATGAGCATCTCTTTGAAATCGGTGAAGTTAACTCGGTAGATGTGGGACTCTTCCGTTCCCACGAAGAACTGGTGCCCCTCTCCCCGGAGCGTGATGGAAGTGATGCCGCCCTGCAGCTGCATTTTCCTTTGGGGAAAAGCGTAAAGGGGAGGCTGAGCCACTCGGCCAGCAAGCATTTGCCCATCTGACTGCGGAGGGGAGCACACAAACCAGCCCAGTGGTGTGGGGTCGGGCCCCCGGAGGAAGTGACCCAGTTGGGAAGGCCGGGGTTAGTCACAAGGTTGCACACTCGGGATCAGGGGTGGGGGGGGGCTTGCCAGTGTAGGTTAAAACAGTCAGGTGGGAGCTGTCGGGGAAATGTGCTGAGATGTTTGTACTAGGCAGGTGGGCCCGTGGGCACCAACAAAAAGAAAAAAATATCCACTAGCCCTTTGATCCCAGCTACACTTTTAATAGCAAGATGAAATTCTTTAACCAGATATGCTATTCTTTTAGACAGGCTTCACTACTTAGCCCTGCATGGGTTGGGACTCTGTGCAGAACGGGTTGGCTTAGAACTCACAGGGACCCACCCGTCTCCGCCTCCTGTGTGCTGGGACGAAAGGTGTGTGCCACCGTGCCTCGAAAATGCAGTTCTTCCCAATATCATTTAGTTGCCAGGGTTAAGAGGACCTCTCGCTAGGACCTCCCACCTACCCCAGCTCTGTGAGGTCCAGGGACTTACTTGATGGGTTTGTAGCTGGGGCTTTTACAGTAGACGAGCAAACCAGCTCCAGAGCCGACCAACAAACCGCCCATCTTCAGGCACTTGATGGCTGACACTCCCTAGGGGGCAGAAACAACACTGTGAAAGGGCCAAAGGGTCTCCTCACTAGGACGTCTGCGCGATACCTGATGCAAGGGGGCAAGGCGAAGGCCGTGTCAAAGCTGAGTGTATGGTTTGGTAAAGATTGGGATGTACCTCCGGGCTGGCCATTCAATGCCAACCACCAGTCCATGTCTTAGGAAGTAGCCCTCTACAAGGTTCCCCATCCTCCATCCCTGAGCTCGCCTGTGCAACCGGCCATTCCGAGTATCGGTGTCCCTATAGCCACCGACTGACTGCAGTTCAGTTGCGGCAGGAGGCAAAAGCACAGCCTCGGCACGCCAGTTCTTCAGTCACATGATTTCCCAGAACTTAATTCATATAAATGCAGGGGCCAATGTAACATCCAAAGCTGGTACAGGAGAGTTGTTCTTTATTTTCTTATTTTATTCACGTTGGTATTCTGCTTCCCTGTGCGCCTGAGTGAGGGTATCAGATCCACTGGAACTGGAGTTACGGACAGTTATAAGCTGCCGTGTGCATGCTGGGATTTGAACCTGGGTCCTTGGGAAGAGCAGCCAGTGCTCTGAACCACTGAGCCATTTCTCCAGCCCAAATCTCCAGAAATAAGGAGATTTCTTAATGTTAGGTGACTCTGTTTTCTGAGCTAAGGCCTGCGGTATACAACCCTACCAACAGTTGGAAACACAATCAAAATTCCACAAAGCCTTCAAATACATGGCCGAACGATGGCCAGTAGAATGGCCATAAGGTTCTAATTTAAAATGGGCAGGGCTGCATGTACCCCCCACAGGCGTCTGCAATGGGACCCACGCTCCAATTCGACACTGACAGAAAGTAGAGCCTAAGGATTAGCTCTTGAACCAGGTGCGGTGGCACACACCTTTACTCCCAGCAGCTGGGAGCCAGAGAGGCAGGTAGATCTCTGTGAGTTCCAGGCCATCCAAAACAAAAACAAAAACAAACAAAAAAACCTATCTGGAAAAAAAAAAAAAAGTCAGGAAGCCTCAGCTCCTGTGAATGGTATTGGTTATAAAGAGTGGTTTATCACTAAATGAATTTAGCTCGACACAGAAATGCTCACTTGTCTGTGCTTCTAGCTACCTGGAAGGCTCAGGGAGGAAGAGCACTTGATCCCCAGGTTTAGTAAAAAAGGGACTCTCGCTCTTTTCTGTGGGTTGTCTGCATGTCCTGCTGTCCCTCGTGGGATGAGGCAGCCCACTGTCCTTCACCAGATGCTAGCGTTGAGCTTCGAAAGGCCCCAGATTCCCAGATCATGAAGTGAACGAACTTCCACTGTTTACAATTCACCCAGTCTCCAGTATTCTCTTATAACTACGTAAAACCAGCCAAGGCAATGTTTATTTGAAAACATTCAACATCTAGAGTTAAGGACTTGAAAAGCTTCTGTCTTACTGAGTTTTGAGGGCGGGGCTTACAGAACTAGCAAGCACAAGGCCCTGGCTTTAATCCCAGCATTGCGAAGAAAAAAACAAAACAAAACTGAGGCTTGCAGATTGAAAAATAAACATATCCTTTCAAGTTTCTTTAAGCTGGATGTTTGCCTGTCCTGAGTCAAAGGGCATTCTAAAGTGTCTGAGGAGAAAAGCAAAGGCTGAAGAATGAGTCAGCAGGGTGGCACTTGTGTGCTTCACCAGACCTGTCTTTGCCAAATAGGCTCTCCCTCTGGGGCTTGACTTCTTGGTGTCTTGGTGATGCCCTTTGCAGAGCTTAAAACTGTGTTGCCGAGGCCCTGCTTATGAACTGTGATAGCTGTCAACTTGACTATGTCTGGAATCAACTAAGACCCAGTACCCGGCCACGCCCATAAAGGATTTTCTTGATTGGCTCTTCTAATATGAGAAGACCAACTCTAACTGGGCCACACCTTCCCATGGCAGCTGATATAAAACACAGAAGAAAGGAGTTTTTGCTTTTGCCTGCTTGCCCTCGCTCAAGCTGGCAGGTTTGTTTCTATTGTGTTCCTGAGGCGTTCCTTTGCTGGTTTTAGAGCCTACTTCTTCTGGATTCTGATGCAGAAAGAAGATGTTCAGCTCTCTAGGACTCCCTGGGACTCTGTTACCAAACTGGGACCCCTGAGACAAGCAGAGTCGTAGACAGAGCAACTACCAGATCCTTGGCCTTTCTGTCAGGAGACAGCTATTGTTAGAGCACTCCCACCACAGCCTGTCAACCCCTCAGATAAAGTGTACACACACACACACACACACACACACACACACACACACACACACACACACTCATTCTATCAGTTTTGTTCCTTTACAGAGCTCTGACTAACACATCTTTCCTGGAGTGTGTCCTACATGTGTTTAAAATGTCATCCCCAAACCCTAGGTCATGCCATTTTTTCCTGAATTATCTTCTGTAAGTTTTTGTTTTATATTTGGTTATGTGACCCATTTTGAGTCCATCTGTAAAGGGCTAAGGTCGGTGTCTGGGTCACCATGAGGGTTTTGGTTTGGGCACCTGTTTTGAACAAATGGGTGTCTACTTGTACCAGCATTATTTGCAAGAACTGCCCTTTCTCCATTGGCTTCTCTTTGCTCCGCTGTAAGATGATGTTAGGAATATTTGTGCAGGTCTCTTTCTGAGCTGTTTGTTTCACCTGTCTGTCTACTTTTTCATTAAAACCTGTCTTTATTACTGCAGACTTCTGGTAAGCTCTGGAATCGGGCCCTCTGACTCCCCGGCAGCTCTTCAGCGCTGTGCTGGCTGCTTCGGATCCTTTGCTGCTTTTTACCACTGCTAGGATTAGTTTCTCAGCAGCCATAATTAACTTTGGATTTAGGTCATGATTACATTAAATCTGTAAATCCAGATGTATGAACTGGCTTCGTGTGTGTGTGTGTGTGTGTGTGTGTGTGTGTGTGTGTGTGTGTGTAACAGACACTAATGTAGCTCAGGCTGGTCTTGAACTCACAATATAGCCACCACCTTCCAAGTGCTGGGAGTCCAGGCATGAGTCCACCAGTGCAAGAACTAACATTTAAACAATAATGCGTCTCCTTATCCACAAACACACAGCATTTCTTTATTGTTTCTTCTCTGATTACTTTCATTTGTTTTGTTGTTTTCTCACTGAGATGCTGTAAAAACATCCTGTTTTTATTATTACTGTTAATACCATTATGGTCAACTTCTTCTAATGCAGTTTGTATATCTATCTAATAGGCCAGTTTTAAATCATGACAATTCTTTGCCTCTCTCTTTAGGGATCAAGCCTTTAAGTACAGTTTCAAAATGGCCTGCCCCAGGTCACTTAATTTTCCAACAAGGTGTCTTCAGCACCACGCCGTATCTTTTCATCCTTCAAGCAATCTTTTCTTTCCAGCCATGTGAAAGCTGAGCTGGAATTGCTGTTTTGTGGGGCTTGAGGGGCATTGCCACAGCCAGCATCTGCTTTGTAGAGGCTTAGCCCCCAAGTGCTGTTCAGGCATTTAAAACAAAACAAACGCAAAGAAACCATGCCTATCAGCAGGTTTCAAGCAGTGCCTTCAGATGGCCATCGGAGACCTATCAGGCCTTGGCACTGGCGGGGGTTCTCCGCTTTGTCTCCCCTTTCCTCTTATTGACCCTGTTTCATCTGCTTAGTATTAGAGTCCATCTCCCTCTAAATAATTGGAGAAACATTGATCTAGGCCCTGTTTTGATCTCCTATAGAATTATTTCTAAATATTCCTTTATCCTTATTATCTGTGTCATGGCTTCTTCCCATGTTTGTGGATTTCTTTAAAAGCTTGATGTTAAATGGTGGTATGATTAAGGAGACATTTTCCGGAGCGGACTGCATAGTATTTCAGTTTCTTGAGAATGTCTGTCAAGTGGGAAAGTAGCTGTGCTGCTACAGGAACCATCTGTTCTGATATCAGAAATGAGGCAGGCAGGTGCGGGACTTGGCGCACAAACTTTCCAATCATTTCCATGAAAGCAGCCCTCGGAGCTGTTCGGTCATGTTAGGGGTAGCTGTTCTTACTGTCTAAAGTCACCGTTCCATGGTGGGTCTTTTGCTTGTATTTAAATGTTAGCCTGGATTACTGGAGTTCAAGAATTGTTGAAAATTCTGCACTTTTGATGATTTCTTGGTCTCATGAATGTCTTCTAGAGGAACCCTTGAGGCTAACATCTAAGATCTGGCTATTAGAGTTAAGTACACACAGACACAAACACACAGAGTGATCAAAGAACACACCTCTCTCATAGATGGCAACTGGACTAGAACCAACGTAGTTTCAAACCATAAAGAAACGGTTCTTGTGCTTTGAAGAGGGGGAAATGGGCAAGGTACTGACACCCTAGAAATATCTTTGCCCCGAAGAGAACCAGAGAGTCAGGCTTGCACAACTGGCTGGTGCAGCTTGGCTAAGTTGACTTGGGTGTGGCTTTGCACCATTGCTCATTTGCCTTCCCTGGCTCCTCCCTCCGCAAAGTCTGTGCTGTCAGTAGAGGGAAGGGAATGACAGATGACCAAACCATACCTTGATTCGTTCTACTCACCAAGCTGAATTTGTCCTTCGCGGGCCCGGTGTCGGCCAGCAGTTTGGTCCTGGGGTTCAGTTTTAGGATATCCCCGGTGGAGGTGCCGATATAGAAGAAACCGTCGTCATCGGCCATCTGGGAGGTCAGAGACAGAACCTTGAAGACCTGAGTGTCCCCGTGGCCTATGAAGCCCCAGCTAGGGAGGAGATGAGAGTCCATAGCGGCTGACAAAGAAGCTCATGGTCACATCTGTTTCCCAAGGCTCAAGTGTGGGAAAGCACAGCTGTGAGAGAAGTGAAGTCAGGCTGGAGGAGATGCTGAACTATGAGTTACGCTCATTTGGGTCCGATGCTAACGTGTATGGCCAGTGCCAACCACGAGTCACCTCCAAAGGGCTCTGAGGACAAAGAAGTGCTTCTCCCTCATCTCACAGCTCCCAAAGGAGCTTGAAAAGGAGAGTGGAGCAGAGAGCTCTATGCGTGAACCATGTCTCCACACTCAAACATACTAATAACATCTCTTGGTGAAAGAGCCTGCATTTCAACAAGGCTTCCCCCCATCAGACACTTTATCTCCAGAGGAAGAAACAGCAGCGGTGGCAGAGGGAAGCTCTGTCTGTGCTCGGCATCGCCTGGCCCGCACTGCTTCCCTCCAGGTCGGGGGGTGGGGGCTTTGGGTGTTCGAGGACAGCTCAGGTCTCAGTAAAAGGGTTCCCAGCTGGGTGCTCCGGCTGAGTGTCTGAGCGGCACCTCCACGACCTTCCTCCCTCGCCTGGCCCAGCACGCCCCGCCCCCAGCTCCTGGCCAAGAGCCCCCTGCTCAGGGCTGTTTGCGGACAGTAACACTTAGGAGGGCACTTACTCCAGCGCTCAAGGTTATCCTCTTCATCTGTCCCGTTTGGCACTCAGTTGGCCAGATTTTTCTGTTTGGGAGATCCAGTTCCCACACACGAATCGTCCCGCTACAAAGAAAGATCACAATCAAATGGATACCCTTTTAAACATTGCTTCACATCTTTTAGGGTTTTCTCCGCCCCCTTGAAGGATGAAGCAGAGAGGAAGAGAGAGAAATATTTTCCGAGGATTTTTACTTTTACTGTACAACGTGAGAACCTTCCACTGGGTCTCACGGCAACCCTAAGAGGTAGGTCTTATGATCCCAGGCTCCCCGAGTGAGGCGCTGCAGGCAGGGCTTGGGCACAGCCGAGTAGGCCTCGCACTCAGCTCAGTCACGCATTGACGTGCACACTCTCCCCACTGTACTGAAAACAAGCAAACGAGTCAGGCGTGGCTCAGCCTTTACTCTCAACATGTAGGACGCAGAGGCAGGCAGATCTCTGAGTTCGAGGCCAGCCTGGTCTACATCGCAAGTTCCAGGATGACCAGGGCTACATGATATGGCCCTGTCTCAAAGATCAATTAATTAATTAATTAATCCTGCAAATAAATGTAGAACAAATGAGGTTCTTCATTTTCAGTCTTTTCCTTATTGACAAGTAAAATTATATATATACACACACACACACGCATATATCATGATCTTTTAACACGTGTATACACAGTGGAATGGTTAAATTAAACTCCTAAGCATATGTGTTGCCTTACTTGCCCCTTCATAGTAAGAACACTTGAAATCTACTCCGGGCCACTTTCAGTGTTATTTAACATATGCTGTGTGTACATTGCTATGAAGTATAGTCACCGTGGTATATACACAGGGTGTCCATCAATAGACGAATGGATGAAGAAAGTGTGCATATGTACAAAGGAAGACTGTTCGGCCTTAAGAAAGGTGGACATCTGGAGAACATCATGCTAGCTGGAATAAGCCAGGCGCAGAAAGACAAATGTTGCCTGATCTCACTCATGTGGAATCTAAATGGAATGTACCAGAGGCTGGGGTGGGAGAGAGAGAGTGGAAGATGTTTTTTCAGGACACCAGATCTCAGTCAGGAAAACATAAGTCAAGGTGTTCAGTGGTGTAGAAACATTTAAAAGGGTGACACCTTTTTTGTTTGTTTGTTTTAAAGGCAGGGTCTCATGGAACCCAGGCTGGCCTCAAACTCACTGTGTAACTAAGGCTGGCCTTTAAACTCCTGCCTCTGCTTCCTAAGTGTTGGGATTGCAGACCTGTTCCTTGCTTCATGGAGGATGTTTGGAGATTCTTGTCTCCAATGGAAGAGAAATGAGACTAAGTGAGTAAAAGTTCAAGGTCGTAATTAATGCAGCGCTTGATATATGGCTGGCACTTAACCACTATACGCCGAGTTCATCTGAATGAATGATTCTGTAATAATAATTACAATACCGAGGTGACTATAATAAAAATACGCTGTGTGAAATTCTCAAGATTGTTAAAAGCATTATTAAAAAAAAGAAGAAAACATTACGAAGAGTTCTGCCAACATCTCAAGTCAGAAAGTATTAGTTAGAATATGCCAACTTTAGCTTTTCTTTCATTTTAGCCTACAGAACTGTAGACATAGTACATGTTCAAGGAATATCTAAATGTATTTTTTCAAAGTGGAGAGAGGAGAAAGAGAGCGAGCGAGCGAGCACTGGCCCGTGGCCTTACTAGTGGATATGTTGTGGATGCTGACGTGCTGGGGCGTCTGGGCTGTCTTGGGGAGACCACACAGTGGATACGCAAAGCTACAACTGTGATAAGAGAAAGCAGGTACCCCGGGGCCACGACAGGATCTGGACCTTCCCAGTACTGGTGTCAACATGATTGAAGCCAGCTTGGAATACAGATGATCCAAAAAAGATTGTTTCCTATAAAACCTCCAGTTTGAATTTGGAGAAACCTTGCCTACATACAGGCACTAGAACAGACTGATGCTTTCAGTGGCTAAGGAACCGAGGCGCCCAGATCCAGCAGAACAAAGAGCTGAGCAGCTCTGCAGACCGCAACGGGGGCCAGAGAGCTTCAGTCTGTGCAGAAAGAGCAGGGCAGGGTCCACACGTGACAGGGGAGGGGGCTTTCACGGCTGCCAAGGAATTTACCACCTCACTCAGCCGTGGAATAAATGCAGCTTGTGTGTCCTGGGGACAGGAGACATTTCAGAGGGAGGGAAGCATGAACTCTTCACTCTGGCCAGGAAGGAAAGAACAGTGTGTACCTTTCATGGGTGAGAGACGACAGAGGGACCGCAAAGATAGCTTGACCGGACTTATCCTCCTGCCTTAGAGTTTACGATTTCTTCCCTTTCAGCTGGTGGGTGATGTGGGAAAGGACACTTTTATGCCTGTTTCACCTCCCCTTCAGGACAGACGCAGGTCCTGCTCAGACGCTCAGCTCGCTGACCGCAAGCTGACCCAAGCTGACCCTACCCGAGTCCCAGGGAGAACTGCTTAAGCATCCGAAACATCCTGGCACGGTTCTCTCTGCAAAATATCACTTCATTAGACCTAAATCAAGAGCAGGTGGTAAGAAATACCAACCAGGAAGTGTAGGCATGCGATCGTGCAAATTAGTTGGCGAGCACCGATCAGAAATCACGTCTTCTCGGTGACAGAAAGAATCCTAAGAAGAGTTCAGTGAGAGCCAGTGAGGTAGTAAGTGGGCAAAGGGGCTCCTGCCAAGTCTGAGTTCAATCCTATGTGATGGAAGACAAGTACTGACTCCCGAAAGCTGACCTTTGACCTCCGTATGCTTGCTGTGGCACTCCATGGACCCCTACACACAATGCGTAAATAAATGTAATAAAATGTTTTGTTTTTTTTTTAAAGAACAGTTTAGCCATTCAGCAGAATCTCTGAGCCTCGACAGCATTTTCAAAGAAACATGCTTACAATACATCCAGCTGAAAGGATTTTTTTCAGTGCTTACAAAAATTACAAAGTAAGGCGTTTGTCCCAGACTCAAGACATATCCCTCCCCTGTCCCCACACCCTGACTGACATGGTCGTGTTTTCCGTGCAGGTGACATCCTCACTGTGTGAACTTACTTTCCAGCAGTGACAAACATCTCATCTCGGCACTTAGAGAAGACCACGTTGGTGGCATTGCCGACATTGAGGCCCGCTGCGGGGCTGCCGCAAATGGCCTCTCTTTTGGATATGCTCCAAACCACCACACTGCCAGACAAGAAAGGGAAAAAGACACCAACAGGGGAAGTCAGACTTTCAAAGTTAGCGACTGTTTTAGTGGTTCTGGGAAGAAAAAGAACAAGACGAAACATTCCTAACGAGTAAACACAAACATCACACTTGACCCCTCCCCCCATCTCCCAAGCATCCCCCCAGTCAGGCACCCTGCTTACTTGAAGACCACTGTGATGCTTTGAAAGCTTTGAAGGGAAATGGTTGTGGGGCTGGGAGCCAGTGAACCCACCAGTCAAGACGCTTCAGAAGCGCAAAGCATGAAAGCACGGAAGCATTCATCTCGTGTGAAATTCTTCCTCGGGGCTGGGGGCTTGGCTCAGTGGTTAAAAGCACTTGCTGCTCTTCCATAGGACTGCAGTTCGGTTCCCAGCACCCACATTAGGTGTCTTACAACCTCCTGAAACTCACTCCACGAGATCTGAGACGGCCTTTTTGGTTGCCTCTGCTGGCTCTTAAAACCCCTTTCCTGCAGGCTAGGAGACGGCTTAGGGAGCAGTGGCACTTGCTGCCATTGAATTGTAGATGGCTATGTGGATGTAGGTGGACGTTCCGAGTGAGAGCCCGGGATGACAGTTTTCCCAGACAAGACTTCTGGCAGAGGGTAGGGGTAAGGTGGCCTAATGGCCAGTCTCCACAATTGGAACTCAGGCCCTGGGACTTCTGAAATCTCTCTGGGTGATTCAGTGTCCACACATGGAGCTAAGAACAGCTGCTTTTAACAGAGGCAGTAAAAATATTAATAGAAAATTTCTGGCTATACTTCTTATGAAAAGAAAAAAACGCCCAAAAGGACCCAGAGATGGCGGGAATGTTTACAAGTGATTACCAAAGCAGTAAGATTCATGAAAACATTGTCGAATTTCTGTGCGTTAAGAGGACTGGAACTAAATAGCATTGTACACCTGTGATGCTCAAGTGCGAAAAATGTTGTATATGGAAAGGTATTTCTAGGCATTAATGTCCAGCCATAGCCAGAGCTGAGGACCTCTTCTAAGCTGTGGTCTTTTCACACAGAACAGCACACTCAGATGTGGGCAGCAGACCAACGAAGGGCCTGGGCAGGGCCAGGGTACTCAGCAGCTGCGGAAACGCACCTGGTAGAGTCTACACAGATCGTATGCTATCCCCCGCCACCCACATCCTTACCGCTTACACTGGGACATATTTTCATGGATTGCCCTTCACGATATAATGCTCTTTCTATATAAGATGGTCAGAAAATGATGCATTTAGGTGTGTGTAATGTATAAATATATACATATTCAATTTCATTTCATGTATGTTCTTGGCCAAATATCAGAGTCCATCAAAGGGCAAAGATCATGACTCGTGGGGCAAGATAATGATGCCACCTCCCACCATTATCTTCAGTTGCTCAGTTGTCACCAGGCACCTCTGCCCCCATTCTAAAGGGTAGGAATGAGGCTCAAATGAGCTATTGCAGTTAAGTTCTCAGCACATACTCAAAGACACATCTGTCTTCTCTAATGACTGTTGTCACAGTTTGGTCGTGAAAACTTCGACAGCAATGGTTTCTGAATGTAGGTATCATCCAGGAAGATTTTATGACACTCAGAGCCCAGACCACTCAAATCAGACTGTCTGTAGTTGGGCCCTGGCAGCTGGGAGATGGCCAGGAGACATCCACGTGGTGTCAGAGCTAAGTCTACTCGTCTTAGCTACTTTTTCTCATGATCTTTTTATACACAGGACACACTGAGATGTGGGCAGACCAGCAGAGGACCTGGAAAGGGCAAAGATACTTGGTATCTGTAACACCTAGTAAAAAACCTCAGTAGCTGGGCATGTCTTTAATCCCAGAACTTGGGAGGTGGAGGCAGGTAGATCTCTGAGTTCGAGGCCAGCCTGATCTACAGAATCAGTTCCAGGACAGCCACGGCTACACAGAGACACCCTGTCTTAAAACAAATGAACAAACAATAAAACAACAACAACCTCTCCTCAAAAAAAAAAAAAAAAAAAAAAGAAGAAGAAGAAGAAGAGAGGAAGAAAAAAAGAAAACGTGAGTACATTTAATTATTACCTTCCATCATCGGGGCCTCCTAGTGAAACCAAGTACAATTCGTTGGGCGAGAAGGCCAGGGCTTCAATTTTGCCCTTGTGTAGTGACAGCCGAGCGATCAGCTCCCTCTTCTTAAAGTCCCACAGGATGATGTCTGCCTGGGGGCCAAGGATACACTGTCAGATCATAGACAGGCTTAGTGGAACTTGAAGGGGTGGCTGCCGTCCTGGGGGGAGTGCTCAATAATGTGACTCCCCTGTATTCGGCCGCGCATTATAAAGATGACAGCAAAACAGAAGCAGATTGAAGCTCGGGATTTTGCAGTCACAAGCTGCGGCATCTGGGACAAAGAGGCCAGGGTGTTTCGGGGGCAGCTTGGTGGGCTGAAAATGAGAGGAGGCGAAGGACGAAGGAAGGACGTGTGAGAGAGAGCACAGAGCTAGGGGCCCGGAGCCTGGCAGCTCTCCCCGCGAGGCACCTCTGAGCAAACGTCCAGTGAATCATTTCCTGTCTATTCACCTTGAACCCCATGAATGTGACTTGTCCCGAGGCAATATAATCTCCTTCCCTGGAGATGGCCAAACAGGAGACGTTGTTACCGTGGCCATGCAGGAAATTCTGCTCGTTGGTATTTATTGACTGGATGAGGACAGTGCAGCCCAGGGGATAGATCAGGTGCTCCTGGTCGGGATGGCATTTGAGGCCATTGGGAACATGTCCTAAAAGAGAGGAATTAAAAATGACTATAACTGGGTGCAGATGTGGCTGGTTTTTTTTTTTTTTTTTTAAATCACAGTACAAAAGACAACACTTTTAAAATAAAGCGTAACCTCCTCGGGGAGCTGGTTAAAATGATTCTAGTTTCAGGTTTGGAGTGGGCTAAGATTCTTCATTGCCAACTAGCTGACAAAGGATGCTGGGGTTGTCTGGAAACCTCGCTTTGGATTGCAAAGCCCTGCGGTAGAGTCTCTAATCCTGAGAAGCACAGGGTATAGGACACAGGCAGCTTGTAATGGCTGGTAGGCAGAGGGAGAATGTGAGTATTTACAGTAAACACTTAAAGGCGAAAGTTCTGCTTATTTCACTTAGTGTCCTCCAGGCTCGTTCATCATTCCACAAACAGCATGTGGCCATCACATTACAGTGTGTCTGTGTGTATCTCAGGGTTTCTCTCTCCATCATCTCTTGGTGGACTCTATCTATGTCTTGCCCACTGTACAGAACGCTGATATGAACATGGTGGTTTGGATGCTACTTCAAAATTATGGCTTCATTTATTTTGGGTAATTTACCCCATGCTGGATAGTCTTATATCAACCTGACAAAACGATGGCCATCTGAGAGTGGGGAACCTCAACTGAGGAAACCGCTCCACAATATCCAGCTGTAGGCAAGCCTGTAGAGCATTTTCTTAGTGATTGATGGGGGAGGGTCCAGCCCATTGTGAGTGGTGCCATCCCTGGGCTGGTGGGCCTGTGTTCTATACGAAAGCAGGGTGAGTAAGCCACGGGGAACAGGCCAGTAGGCAGCACCCTCCATGGCCCCTGCACCAGCTCCTGCCTTCAGATTCCTGCCCTGTTTCTGTTCCTGTCCTGTCTTCCTTTGATGGTGAACAGTGATGTGGATGTCTAAGCCAAATAAGCCCTTTCCTTTCCAAGTTGCTTTTTGATCATGGTGTTTCATCAAAGTAATGATAACCCTAACTAAGACGTACCCAGAAGTGGGATTGTTGGACCATATGGTAGCACTGTTTTTCTTTCTTTCTTTCTTTCTTTCTTTCTTTCTTTCTTTCTTTCTTTCTTTCTTTCTTTCTTTCTTTCCTTCCTTCCTTCCTTCCTTCCTTCCTTCCTTCCTTCCTTCCTTCCCTCCTTCCTCCCCCCCTCTTTTTCCTGAGGAACAACCATACTGTCTCCATAATGGCTGGGCCAATTTACATTCTCGAACAATGTTTCTCAACACCCTCACCAACATGTGGCATCCTTTCTGTTTTTTACAGTGGCCATCCTAGCCAAAGTGAAGTGATATCTTTCTAGAGTTTTATTTGCATCTCGCCTAGGAAGTGATGTTGAACACTTGATCATACGTCCAAGGGCTACTTGCATGTCTTTTGAAAAATGTGTGTTCAGTTTCTCTGCTCAGGTTTCAATAACTCCAGAGCACATAATGCTAAGTAAGCCAGGCACAGAAAGAGAAATATGGGGCTGGGCAGAGTGTTGCATGCCTGTAATCTCAGCACCCTGAGAGGCAGAGGCAGGCAGATCTCTGTGAGTTCAAGGCCAGGCCTTCTGCAAAGCTAGCACAGGAGACAGCCCATGCTACACAGTGAAGCCCTGTCTGGAACCCCCACATACTCCCCCAAAAGAGAAATATAGAATGGAACCTTGAAAGGCTGCACTCATAGAAACAGAGAGTAGGATAGTGGTTGCCAGGGATGGAGGAAGTGGGAATATTAGGGTCCGAGGGTATAAAGGTCCAATTATATGGGATGAGAAAGTTCTGGAGACCTGGTAGACAGCATGAGGACTACAGTTAGTGTCCTAGCTGGGCTTTTGTCAGCTACAGTTATCTGGGAAGAAGACCCTTAAATGAGAAAGTGTCTCCACCAGATTGCCTGTGGACAAGTCTGTAGGGCAGACTTGATCAATGATTGAGGCCACTGTAGGCAGTACCACCGCTGGCCGGGGGGTCCTTGGTGGTATAAGAAAGCAGCGGGTGCAGTGACACACGCCTGTGATCCCAGCACTCGGGGAGGCAGAGGCAGGCTGATCTCTGTGAGTCTGAGGCCAGCCTGGTCTACAAAGCTAGTCCAGGACAGCCAAGGCTACACAGAGAATCCCTGTCTTGAAAAATCAAGAAAGAAAAAGAAAGAAAGAAAGAAAGAAAGAAAGAAAGAAAGAAAGAAAGAAA